ACTTCATCCACATTCTGCAGACTCTCTGAGCCTCAGTGTATCTGTCTCCTTTTTTTTTTTTTTATCAGCAATTTAAGCCTGTCGTCCTTATATTTTACCCCAGCGGGCCTGGGGGCTTCCTGGGCCTCTGTGACCCCAGGATGGGGCTGGCCAGATGCACAGCAGGTCAGCACCCAGGTTAGCCTGTGGGTGAGTGGCTGAGGCACCACCGTAGGGCCTGTGGAACGGCGGACCAGCTTGACGTGCACTACTTGTTAGCTGTGCAGCCTGGTGCGTGGCTTCGCCTTCCCGAGCCTCAGCTGCCTGGCTGTGAAATGGAGCGATCGATAGTCCTTATTGCCAGGAGTCAAGGGTCACACGCGCTAAAGCACGAGGCCACCTTCCCCGGGTGGGAGGTCTGCCCTGGTGTGATGACTGTAATTGTCCCTGTTTTGGCGATGTGTGAGCAGACAGGGCAGTCAGAGGCAAACCAGGATTGGAACCCGGTGCTTAACAAGTCCTGTTTGTTTATCTGAAATGAATGGGCCTTGTCGTGCTTCTGTGCTGGGCCTCTTATTCTCCCCTGTAAATGAAGGACTTTGGAAGAAAGATGGCAGAATCATTCAGAGCCACCCACCCAGCACGTGGGCAGGCAGGTGTGGTTCTCCTGAGCTAGCGAGGACCCCCAGCCCTGGTCTAGCCGGACATTCTGTGACCCTTGGTGTTTGCCCAGGTCCCCTCCCCCACGGTCTGCTGGGAATATCAGTCAGGCAGTAGGTGGCGGAAACCGCCTTCCTCCAGGGTCCACGGGTGAGGGAGGTTTAAGTGGAGCTGGGTTCAGAGACTTGCCAGGGCCAAGCATGCTTCCAGACACGCCCATTTTGGGTTCTTCAAAAGCTTTCAGCAAGTAGAAATCTGGAAGGCTCCACAGGGGAATTGTCTTTTGTGGGAAAACCCACCAGTATCAACAGTTTTAGGACTCCCTCCTCCGCTTACCATCCATCTGTTTGCCAGATCTGTTCAGAATTTGGGGAAAGAAAGATGCCTGTGTACCAGCAAAGGTCAAGATCCTCATATAAGGTTCTTACTTTGTGTTTCTCCTACATAACCCAAATGAATTGCAAGTTCAAAAGCCCAGTTTTCTAAAGCCTCCCGTCGGTTTCCCATTGAGAACGAAGGCTGGAAAGAGGCTGCTTCTTTATGGCCTGGTAAAACAGGGCGACTGATCATACCCCCTGGAGACGGGCACCTTGCCTGCCTTCTTTGCAGAAATATTATTTCCCCCAACACGGGGCCCTGTGGTCTGCTCCCGGGGATGTGCCAGGCGCTGGGGCCCATCCTGCCCTGTTGCATGCTGAGGGTCACAGACTAGATGCAAACACCACAGTGAAGGACTCCCGGCCAAGGGGCGGAGCAGGGACCCGGAGCCAATGGAGCCTTAGGCAGATGTGTGTAACTGTTGGGAAGTGGGAGAATAGCTTTCCTTTCTACCCACAGAGCTCCCGCTTGAGCGGGGGCCGATCAGGGAGCTCCCCGAGCAGGGGCCTAGTCAGCACCTGACCGGTGGGGGGTGAATGCTAAGCCTCACCTCATTGTGGTGGGGTCTCTGGGTGGCCTCAGCACTCTGAACCCTGGCTTCAGGGCAGAGGGGTTTCCGAGCTGCTGCCATTCCCAGCTTTCACGGCCCTTTCCCCACTGCTCCCCACCAGCCAGAGAGGGTGCTGGGGATGGACTGGGGCCTCGCTGAACCAGGGCAGCCTGAAGTAACTGAGGTGGAGTCGCAGGTTCAGATCTGCGTGTGGGCCCTTAGTGAGGACTGCCTTGGACTCCCCTTAGATGTCAGGCACTCTCAGTGCTTTATTTATGTTTTTCTCTAATCAATCAGCAAGTCAGCCGCCACTGGCCTCCCCTACCTAATGGGACGCACAGGTGTGGGTGCCTGCCCAGAGCCAGGGTGCTGTCCCCAAGGAAGCACATGACGTTACCAGAGAGCGTAATAGCGGCTCACGAAGGAGGAGGCGCTCCCTTCCTGCCAAGAGCTCAGGAACCAACAGGAGGCCTTTCGCCCCCTCTTGGCAACTGGACCTCACCCTTGAACCCTCCTCCTCGTTTCTTTTCGTTTTTCCCTTTTGGGGGTTTGGCTTCAAATTATCTTATTTTGTTTACATTACACCCAAGTTTCATGGTACAAAAGACTTGCAGGTGCAAATATGTCCCGCCTTCATTAACTTCCCCTCCCTTTTTAATTTATGTGATTTCAATTTTCCTTCCCTGTACTGTTAATTAGGGGACCCTCTAATCAGTGCCATTATCACAGTGGTATTCATGTTTAGGAAAGCCGCTAAACAAATGCTTGCAAAATTGCTAAATGGCTAATTAATGTCTGTTAATTAAGAAAATTGCTCATGGTAACAAACCATGCCGTTGCTGGCAGCCGCTAGAAAGACACACACTTGTTGGAATTAGTAGCGTGGCAGGTAGGGGAACATCTGCTCTGCGGAGCTTTTAGGAAGTGAGCACAGCCCCTCACTTCGCCAAGAAGCCCAGGCGCGCCCCCTGGGTCTCCTGTGCTGCCTTCCTCTGCACACCCCAAATCTCCATGCCCCCCACCCACATGCCCGTGCCTCCCGGTCTGCCCATATTTTCCAGCGAGCAGGCGGCTAAGCAGCCTGGATTTGAGGGGAAAGATGAAGAAAACCCCGTCTGTGTCTCTCAGATTCTTTCTTAATTTTCTCAGACCCGTGTCCCATGCATGCGTTCATTGTTTCTCAGAAACAGTCGTGGAAGCTAGGTAAGGGCACACCGCCCAGCCCTGGCACCATGGGCCCCAGTGCCCACGTGGGCGGACAGCACTGCTGTCCAGGCTTCCTGACTGTGACCCAGAGCCACAGACCCATGACACCGTGACCCAGTGTGCGCGCACACACACGTTTACAAATGAAACAGGGTAGTGATGAAGCTCCCATTTTTTTCTGTTTTTCCCATTCTGTTTCAGGTATTTAAAAAAGCAATGGTTGCAACCCACTGAATTGATTTTACCACCCACTAATTGATTGCAACCCACAATTTGACCAACCCATGGTTGAAGTGAATTTATCTACCCCTCTCTTGCAGGGGGTTGGGAGGGTTTGAGGTTGGTGTGGCCCTGGGCTTTTGGAGGTCAGCTGAGAACCCTGGGTAACTCACCACCAGCAGGAATGGAAAGCCCTGCCTTTCACCTACACACCCACCCAGCAGCTGAAGAGTCACCAGCCCCCTCCGCCCCTCCCCAACTCCTCTGCACAAACGCTGGGCTACAGGGGCCCGGTGAGCCTCGGCCCTGTCGGACTTGGCTTGGCCCTGCCACTTACCAGTTGCAGACTGTGGCCAGGCCCCGGCCCCTTGACACTCAGTTTCCTTAGCAATAAAACAGGAATGAGGAGCCGCACCTTACGGGCCTGTTTCCAAGTGACGGTGATCTAATGAACCCCACCAGTGGGTGCTTGGTGACTGTCTCTTCCTCTCATCCCTGCTTGTTCCATCTCTGGTGCTCCCGCCCCCGCTGTCCTTCACCCTTCAGGGCCCTCCCCTCTCAGATAGGCTGATGTCCTCTGTGGCCCCCAGCCCTCCCCCCACAGGGAGCTCCTTCCTGCAGGGGCCTCGCCCCTTCCTTCACTACCGCAAGCGACACCTGCACGCTCTGCAGCGTGGGTGCGGCTCCCGGCCCCTGTGCAGTCTGAGCCCCGCCTCAACCAACGTGTTTAACATGGCAAACTCGCCTCCAGTGCAGACCGGCGGGCCCTGCCCCTGCGTGCTTTGACAAAGGCGCTTGATTGTACTTTCATTCCTTAAGTTCCCTGTGAGTGTGTTGACCGGCCTCTGTCCCTCCCGCTCACCGACTGGCACCACTGAGCCGGACCTAGGCAGCAGCTCGCACCTCCCCGCCAGCCAGAGCCCGCGCCCGCACGCCCGCCACCCGCCCTTCGTTCTGGTTTGATTTTTGCTCTGTTAAGCTTCTGCTGCGCTCCCATGTGCTGTGATCTGTAACCTGCTCTACTGTCTGGCCTCACAGGGTCCTCCGGGGTCACAGCCCTCGCCGCACGCACAGCCTGCACCTCACAATCCCAGCAGCATGATGGGACCCCACAGTCAGGTAAACGCACTGTGGCTGGCCCCCCGCCGGGGCGCGCGGGGGCACCAGGAGGACAGAGCCAGCAGAGGAAAAACAAAAATCAAAACTTGCTCTTGCCATTGCCATGGAGTCTTTATTGACAAATGGAATTTTTAGAAAAATCCTATTTTTTCTAAAGATAGCCTTCGTTCCTTGGACATCACCCCCAGCTTGGATCTGAAACCAAAAGAAAAGAAAAGAAAAAAAAAAAAACATTCTGTGACCTTGTCAGCGGCCTTTGCGTTTTTGTTTTTTCCTCTCACTTTTGGTTTGGTTTGGTTTTTGAGTTTGGTTAACCATTCATTTGTAACTGAAGCTGCATCCCTAGTCTCTTCTGTGTGCGCTCTCGCTGCTGAGAAAGCTTTCTTGCCCATTCCCCTGCACTGAGTTAGGGAGCCCGCTGCCCCCCGACCCTCGTCATTGTGTTTTCCCCTTAAACCCTCGCTGCCCTCCCCCACCCCCCTGTTGGTGGTTTCTCTGTGTGTGTGCCTGTGTGTGTGCATGCCTCCAGCTTTGTCTGCACACACTGAAAACTGGATGTATAAGTCCCTCTTTGGAGTCTTACCGGCCGTCACCGAGAGCAGAGGTCTCTCCCTTTGCCCTGTGTTGCTGTAACTGCTCTTTCTCGGCCTGTGCCAAGTCCCAGCCGCTGCCCCGCCACCCAGAATAGAGTGGGAAGTCACCTTGGTGCGTGCGACTGTAGTTCCCCCCGCCCAAGGGAAGTTTTGCCCAGAGACAAGAAGCCACAGGGAAGGAGAGCTTGAAAGATCACTAGCTGTAACCACACTGAACTTTGTGGAGTGGAGTGCATTTGTGTTTGTCCCTGTGCAGAAGCACAGGCTGTCATTGAACTCATGCCCTATAATTGCAGCCTTTTATGTCACCGAGATACGCAGGCGGCCCCAGGCCTCCGATCAGAATGGGAAACCAGGTACTGTAAACCTTTTCATGACCTCTCTCCCCTCCCTTGGCCACCCTTGACCCCAGCTGGGCTTTGACTGGAATCAGAAGTTGGGAAGAGGATTTTGGGAGGTGGAAGTTCAGGTTTAACTTGGAGGCGGCTTCCAAGCAGGCGGGAGAGAGGGCCCTGTGCCCGCAACATGGCTCCCCTACCTGCCGCTCCTGCGGGCTGTGGGTGTGGGCGGCCAGTTCTGGAGCAGAGAGCCAGGGTGGGGAGGCAGGACTTCAGCTCTCCTAGAGAGCTGATGTGCCCTGGGCCCTCCCTCCCAGCTCCTTCTAAGAAAAGGGTCTTCCTTCTTAATGAAGTTAATAGACAATGTGCATTTTTTTTTCCTGGAAGCTTTTGAGAATTGCCAAGGCTGGTAAATATAATCCTGCTATTAGGGGGAGAAATGGCCCGTAGGAATGCTTAGATCAGGAGCCCGGATGCAGTGGGGCAGGACATTTGTGAGTCTTTAAGCAACGCTTGCTGCCTCCCAAACCCGACTCAAAACAAGAAAGGATTTGTTCTTGTAATTGGAAAAGTGGCCTGCTTGTGGAGAGGGCCCTTCGGCCGGGGGCTGGGTGCCTTCTGCTGGCTCATCAGAGTTGGCAATCCTAGGTGGTCTGGAGAAACCAACCCACACCACCCTCCCTGCCTCGACCTGTCTAAGGGCAGAGGGAAGCTGGGGCAGTAGAAATGAGCAGCCTCCTCTGGGGATAGACTTAAAAAAGAAACTTTAATGAAACATCAGGGAAATTCTTTTCATGCCAACATACTTTTTTACACATAACAAAATTTCTTTGAGCGACCTTGCAAGAGCCCTTAAAAAAATCTGACGGCGATGCCAGCGCGTCCATCCGTTTTCAGCTTTGGAGGTGGGAGGTGCACTCCCAGATTGGCGTTATCCTTCCATTCTCAAGGATCAGCACGAAAGCCACCGAGTGAGATGAGGGGGCTAGAGAGACGTGGGCTCCAGGGGTTTCAGCTGTAAAGTCAAGTTGTTCACCAGCTTTTCCCTTCCTGCGGCTCCCCACCCCACCAAAAGTCCTTCTTTGTTTTCTACTTTCTGAACAGGAGGAGCGCTTGGGATGCCCGGTAGTGAGCAAACAGAACGGCAGAGGGGCCAAGGCTCCCCCAGTGTCCCCGCGAGCTGGGCTGGGTGTCGGCTCCTGGCCAGCCACTGTCTCCTCTGGGGCCTTCACACCTGCAGAAGCGCTGCTGCGCCTTTGTTCCCAGCGGTCACTGAGCAGGCCTCCCTAGCCTCAGACCGCCCCAGCAGCACTGGCCGCCTGCCCTTCAGGGGCTCCTGTTAGCCCAGACCAGCCCCCGCTCCAGGGAGGGCACAGATGCTTCCTTATCATTGTGGCCTTTCCTCCAGCAATTAGGGACACACGAGAGGAAGAAATGTGCATGTTTCTGTTTGTCAATTAAGCACAAGCAAGTACCCCAGAGAGCACATGGAGAATAAATCCATCATCTGTACTTGGAATTACAGACCAGTTTTCCCGACCTCCCCACGACCCCACATCGGGAATCTCCCACTTCCTGCTTTCCTGTAAGCTCAAGATGCCTCCACCCTCCAGAGGGTGGGGGCAGGCCTTACACAGGTACTGCTCCTCTGGGGTTCAGTGCCTCCCTCAGGTGAGGCTGCTGGCCGGCCAGAGCCTCTGGCCTCCCGGTTAGCTCAGCCCTGCCCTGTGGCATGTGGAGGAAGCAGAGGCAGTGGGACTGTGAGGGCTCCTGTGACCTCTGGGTTAGGGTGAGGAGACGGCCATCTAGGGGACAAGGAGCTAAGGGCCCTTGGCTCTGCCTCAGGTTATTACAGGCTGCATTTTGGAGGCTGTGTATAGAGCCCCAAATGAGGGTAAATGGTGGGTGGTGAAGAGGGGTTCAGCTGGGTTGTCGAGTCCCATTCACACCCCAGCAGAGCCCCCGCTGGCCTGACGGTTGACTCAGGCAGCCTGCACTCGCTGCTGGGACTTGGCCATTTCTTGGGTGGGCACTTGAGTACCTGCCCCTCGGCTCTATAAGAGAGAAGCTGTCCTGCTGCCGGGAACCTGTGGCCCAAACCAGAGCCTCTAGCTCTCCCCGCCAGGCCCCAGGCAAGTGTGAGCCGCAGGCTGGTGGCCCCATGTCGGGTCCCACCTTTTCTTGTGTGAGGACCTCAGTCTCAGCCAAGTCTTTCATCCTAGCCACTGCTGGGAGACCCAGACTGCCTGCTCCATCGCTGGGTCACCCCAGTGAGGGGAGGAGGAAAGTTCCCACAACCCCCATGAACCTCAGGCAGCCCAGCTCCGCCCTGAGTCCTGACCCACAAGGTTAGGGGAGCCCTGACCCAGGAGCTTCCTGCGAGAACTGCTGGTCAGCACTAGGCTAGCTGGAGGGGGGCTGTGGCCGAGCCCCAAAGCTTCTGCTCCTGAGTAGGATGGGGGGGTATTCTGTGATGTAAGGGGCCCGCCTTTCTGATCTCTATCTCAGGATCCCCTAAACCAGATGCCTCCGAGGCAGACCTTTTGTCCTCTCAGAGGCTGTATGTAGCCAGGCTCTAGGGAAGACACTAAACCCCCAACAGGACAGACTTAAACCAAGCATTTGGGAAGAAAAAACGGGGAGAGAGGAAGTGGTGGGGCTAGCTAAAACCCAGACTGGGGGCACACTCAGCACCCAGGAAGGTGGCCGCCTCGGGTGCCGGCGGCCACTGGGTGAGCACAGGGCTCTGTGCAAGCTTGTGTGATCCTCCCATCAGCCTCATCACCCATCCCCCCTAACCCCCCCCACACGCACCTCACCCAAATCCAAGCAGGACAGTGTCCCACCGTCAGACCCGTTGGGCATCCCCCCAGCAGCAGCGGCGTGGGGGTCCCTGGGGCCGGGGCCTGGCCTCTGCGAAGCACTAGCAGGTGGGAAGCAGCAGCCAGTGTCCCCAAAGCCTCTGCGCTCCCCTCAATGCCCGCATTTGAGTTTAGTCCAAAGACTGAGGCTTCTAGAGGTGAACCTCTTCTCCCAGTTGCGTCCTTTTCCCTAGATGGTAGCTGAAATGACTTCAGGCGCACGTAAATCACTTCCAGTCGGTTTTTACGGGATTCCCAGGGGCCACAGCGCCCGTCCTTGTCCTTATTGGTGACCACACCCACGCCTGCCACTCGCGCTGGCTTTGGGGACCTGGCTGCCATTCAGCACCCTGCTGCCCACTTCACCGCTGGCTCAGAAGGTGGCTTCCGTGGTGAGAGAGCCAGTGAGACCCCCACCCCCGCCAGTAGGTGACTGGAGACTTCTGGGCCTCTGGACCACTGTTGCCCTATCTAAGCCTCAAAGGCTGCTGCTTCCCCTGCTCCCGTTTAGAAAGGACCCCCCCCCACCATGATTGGGGCAGGGAGGCGCGTCTCCCCCTTTTCCCAGTTCCCGGGAGCAGTCACTCAGCTCTTGTCTCAGTGTCTCACGTCTCTTGCAGCCTCCGGGAGGAGTTCCTGGGACACAGCCCCTGCTGCCCAATTCCATGGACCCCACACGACAACAAGGTGGGCGGGGCAGGGTTGCCCCAGGGTGGGAGTGGGGGCAGGGGTGGGCCTCCCCTCCACTGTCTGCCTCAGTCTCCTGCCACCTCACAGTTCACCTCTTCTCTCATGCAGGGCACCCCAACATGGGAGGATCAATGCAGAGAATGAACCCTCCCCGAGGCATGGGGCCCATGGGTCCTGGCCCACAGGTAAGCACCTGTCTGTCGTCCAGCTCCCTGGTCATTGTGTGCACCCGCCTTCTCTCCTCTCTCCATTGTCTGTCTGTCTGCCCACGTTGCCCGACTCGCAGGGGTGGGAGGAGGGGGCGTGACTGTCCTCTTGGCTGTAGCTGGAGTGGCCCATGCAGCGTGGAGGCCCTAGGTGGTGGACCCTCCAGGGGACAGATGTGTTCAGTGACACACGTACGAAGAATCTGAAAGGCTGAGCAGTGTTGTGGGACCTCCCACACCAGACACCCTAAAGCCTCCCAGCCAGTTGATGGACGTGAGCTGGCTCGGGTCATGGTTTGTTGGGACCCAAAGTGGGACTGATGAGCAACAGTCCTCGCTCTGGCTGCAGCTCACTACTTGCCTGTCCTGTGGTCGGATCACATGGCTGTGGTGGACCCCAGTCTCCCCACCTGTCCACGGAGTGTCTATCCATGGTTCTCAGCACTGCCATCCCAGGTAAGGGGAGATTAGGGTATCCAGGGCCCCCAACATCCACTTCAACTCAAGAGCTAATTCCATATGCCAGACCTATACCTAAGATTTTTTTTGACCAGGGAGTTCCATTGCCAAAGAAGGCAATTTAGAAAGTTCTGGAAGAAACCACCGTCAGTGCCTGTCTCTCTCTTTACAGTTGCAGTGTATGGTCATTCATTATGACTCAGTTCATAACCCACAGGTGGAGGTTACATGGGACCATTGTGTTAAGGGTCTGACAGGCCATTTTTGTTCTAGAATCTTCTCAGGGTTGGCTCAGACTCCTCCAGTATTTGACTGGGGATCTGTTTCTGCAAGCAGTCTGGGCAGAGTTTGCTGCCTTCTTGGGGATTTTCTGGAATCTAGCTAGAAGAAGCTATAGTCTGAATAAGGGGAGGGGAGTGAGAACAAGAGCATTTTTGTTGGGGTCTTCTTTTCTCCTTTTGTGCCCTACTCTGAAGTCGGTTTATCTCCTCCATCCTGGTTTATGGATCCTCAGAGCCTCCCTCATGGGCACATTAGTGCTCTGCACACACACACCAGAGACTCCAGACACTCTGTCCAGAGTGTATAATACTTACAGTACACCTGGCACACCACTTTCTTTTCATTGGTGCTGGGTTATCCGTGATGTTGAAAGACTTCAGGGAGTCCCTAGTCTCCCCTTGGCTTCAGAGCCCTAAATGGAAGCAGGCCCATGCCAGTTGCAGCTGCAGTTTTCTTGCTGTTGGTTTTTACCCCCTTCACCAGGTCCTCAAAGCTGGTGATTTTTCCAGCTCCTCTAAGCCACTGGAGTGGCGGCTTCCTGTCATGCGGCCATCTTGAGCCAGCCTCTGCAGGGCCGCTTGGCTGAGGAGCCATGGAAAGGCCACAGGTCTGACAGCAGAGCCTTCCCGCTCGAGTCTCCCTTGGCTTGGACAGGCATTAGCCGGCTCTCCTGGCGTGGCCTTGGGCGTCTCTCCTGGGGAGATAAGAAGGTGGCTCTGAGACAGAAAAGCTTAATTCCTGCGAGGCCACCCCTCTGGGTTTTGAGTGCTTAGTAGCCGCATCTGTCAAATGGGCAGGAGACATTGTGTCTGTAGGCAGCGGAAGCAGGTGCAGGTTCTCAGCCTGAGTTGATCCAGGCGGCTCTTAGCAAGCGGTTTCTGTTCTCCAGCATTCAGGGTTCCAGTTGGGTTTGGTGACTGCTTTCAGTGGCCTTTTTATGTTTAAGTGGCAAAGGGCAATAGTGTGTTAAACCTGTAGAATGAGCTTCTAGAATGTTGTGAGACTGACTGAGAGCAGAATATTCCAGAAATCTAGAACTGCCTTCTGGCTTAACCGGTGTGTCATCAGTGCCCAGCAGTCCATCTAACTCTTGTGATGCACTTTAAAGAGGAGAGGGTCCTAAAGACGACAGAGTCCTGCCCCCAAGGGCCTCTGGACCCACGGTGGCTCTCTTGGCCTTTATACTCCCATAGGTCCTGAGAGAGATGCCCAGGTGAGAGGCCAGCTCGCCTTGCCCACTTCTGCCAACCTTAGAGATTCTGAAACCATCACTCCCATTTTCTTATTTTACCAGTAGGAAGATTCTGAAGTGCTTTCCCATACCCTGTACGCTTCTGGGTATTCCAGAGCCAGGACTCTTCCAGAGCATCCCAGAAGTTTGCACCCCTTCCCTGGGAGCAGGGAAGACCTGGCCTTGTGTGAGACAAAGCTGGGCCTGGGCCTAACTGTGAGAAGGTCACAGCCTCTGGGATCAACCAGGGGGTGAGACCTGCAGAGTCTGGAAGTTTGAGGTCAAGGCTAAGGCGGGAGGGGCAAGTCCCCCTCCTCCACTCCAGCCCTTCTCTCGGTCCCTGAGAGTCCTACCCTGGTTGCTCCCAGTGGAAAGAAGATTGAGCTTAGAATTTGGTGCTGGAAAACACACCCTGGCCAGGACTCAGCCTCCTTGGGCATCCGGTGCTTCATCTCAGGTGGGCAAGGCCTCACTGGCTCTGCGTGGGGCCGGGGCAAACAGCAGCTGTAAATACAGACCTCGGCATGAGGTGCCTCTGGGTGCTGGGCCCCACTCCCCCTGCACTGGGGGGGGACCTGGGCTTGGGGTGGAGCGCTGTCTCTGCCATGCCCCAGCTTCTGGAGGGTAGCCAGAACGCTGCATGCACAGCACTGTACATAACCAGAGCAGAGGTGGGACGCTGTCTGCAGGGCTCCCAGCGGGGAGCGAGACAGCTTACAGTCAGTGGCCTCTCTTCAACATCCTGGACAAAGAAGAAGCACAGGGTGTTCTCAGGGCCACTTCATAGCTTTCAAAACCAAGAGGACTAACATTGCACCTTTAGAGCCCAGATGTCATGAAGGACCCAGCAGACCAGCACCGCCCTGCCCTTTACCCTTAGTGCCTCGGACAGGTTTTACCCTGGTTTTCTAAAATGGCCCCCACCTGACAGTGTCAGGCAGGAGCCTTTGGGCTGTTGTTCAACCGAGAATGAGGCTAATTCTGCAGCGACTTGTGGCCAGGACCCTGTGGAGAAAGGCCCCGTCAGTGGGGCCGTGGCTCACAGACCCCACAGTGTGTCTGGCCTTCGGGTCATGGTGCCGTTAGCACAGCCTGGGCTCAGACTGTCCTGGCTTGTCTGCGTGGGAGAAAGTTCAGATGAAAGATAATCCACAATCCCTAGGGACATCCTCTGCCACCAGGAACTTGTCTCCCTGGACAAGCCCAGGACAGCGCAGGCCCCTCTGTGAGCCAGAACCACAGAAGGAGAAGGGAGGATTGTAAACCCAGCCAGAGCAGCGCAGACTGGGTCAGGAGGGGTGGGCCGGCTGGGGCCAGTCCCTCCCAGCAAGGGGTGTTCAGGCTCCCATGTGACGAGTACCAGGACACTGCCAGGCACCCAGAGTCTCCTTGGACAGATCCTGCCTACAAACGAGGTCTCTCTTGTGCTGCTTTGGAGGTGAAGCTCTGGCTGGGCGCTCTGATGGGGGGTGATGGAGCAGCAGCAGACCCAGCCCACCAGGTGCCTCTACAGACCCCCAAGGACCTCTGCCCAGAGCACAGAGTTGAGAGTCACAGGCTGGGAGCCTCCTTCCCTGACTGCGGTTCAGACCCTCTGCCCCTGGTGTGGCAGTGAGGGTGAAGAGCACGGGGGTGGGGGGCGGGCACTCTGGCTCGGTCACACCTCGCAGCTGCAGGCAGGCTGGCACTGGGAGAGGAGAGGACCCCTTGTGCCGAGGCTCCTCGCCCTCCAGCTCGCTGCAGAAAGGCTGGTGTGTCTCCTTTGGAACTTACCCCACCACCACCACCACCAAGCCTGGCTTGTAATGCAGCTTTCATCCCAGCATACTTCAGGCTTGGGCAAGTCTCTGGCTCTGGACTTCCAGCCCACCCTCTGTGAAAAAGGGAGTGGCCTTCCTGGGTGCATGCCTCTGTGGCAGAGGCTGTGGTGGGCACCCTCCCTGCAGGGAAACAGCCGGGGACTATTTGGAGCCACCTCAGTCAGGCTAGGGTAGGACCAGCAGTGTGCTAGACGCTCTCCTGAGCCACACGTCCAGACGTGTCCTCCCTCTTCTGCTCATCTTAGAGCTGCAGTGTCCTGGCCGGGCCCACCAGCCCCTCAGCCAACCCTGCACCTTTACCATGGCACAGGCCACTCTCCTGGGAGGGAGGACGGCGGGATGTGGGTGCAGCCCGGCCAGGCTGGATGGTAGACCTGTGGGCTGCCCGGGGGGTGGTGAGCTTCCTGTGCTGGAGGAGCGGAAGCGAGACTGAGATTTGTAGTGGGGATTTAGGAGCTGCGCGAGGGACTTAGAAAGGCCCTTTAAGACCCGAGGTTCTGTGATGCTTAAGGCAGCATTAAGGGCTTTGGCGCTTGTTCTGCTGCTGGCATCCCGAATCAGCACACACCTCCAAGGGCTGACAGCACTGGAAAGCCATCATTCCACTTGATCCTCCCTAGCCCTATAATGTTGGGGCCTCTTTGTCCCCATTTTACAGATAAGGCAGCAAGGGACGATGGCGCTTCAGTCCCCACTATGCCATGAGCACAGCTAGGTGTCACTGGCTTCTGCACCTCCGCTTGAGGCTTTTTAATGCCTCAAAGTGGGGCTAGTAATGGGGTTGTCACATTAATTAAATGTAGGTGTCAGAAGGCACACTGGGCAGCTTGGTGTGGAGTCACTATTACTGTTCGTGTCATTTGCTCAGACTCACCAGTAAGTGGCCCAGCTGGCTCACGCTCCCATTTGTGACCTCAGGTCTGCGGCTCTGTCACCCAGCAGCTGTCTCTGCCCGGCACCCAGCCCTGCATGCCCCATGAGCCTGCCACCGTCTGTTCAAGGGCAGGCACACGTCTTCCCGACCCAGGGAGTCTGCCCCCAGCAGGCACGGGTGATCCGGGCTCTGGGAGAGCTCACTGTGGGGTTTCTCTGTGGCTGCTTCCCTCAACTCCAAGCTTTTTGCAAGCCAGCCTGGTCTTAGCTCCTGAGAGTCTGTCCTGTCGGGCATTCTTCCTTCCAGACTCCAATCCCCTCTGGGTAGCCACGCAGAGGAGGGTCCCTGAGACAGACAGGCTACCACTTTGGGGCAACTCTGAGCCTGTTGTTTCTGGCATCTGCCCCTCTTGTGGGGATCCCTGCCCTTCCACCTCTCACCAGATACATGGCATAGAGAGTGTCTCCAGAGGCTCACAGATCCAGGGGAAGCCCAGCTGTGTCATTTGCTGATGGTGACCTCGGGCAAGTATTTCTCCCCTTAGACTCTCAGTCTACTTACTATCCTTTAAAACAGGAATAATACCAGCCGTGGCATTGCTGTAAGGACCAAACCAGAGAGTGGACAATAAAGCATGCTATAATCTGGGTGAAGAACAGGTGATGCTGGCTGTTGTTGGCCTCTAAAATCCCACCAACCTACTTCTTTCAGATACTCTGTAAGAGCTGAACTTAAGCCACAACCATGTTCACTTTACCGCCTGTTCATCCTCTTCTTCACTCCTTCATTGATTGATTAAGTACCCAGCCTGTGCCTTCTGCAGCATAGAGTAAAAGGAGGTTCAGAGATCTTTAAGATAACAGTCCCCACCTTCAAAAGGTATTCCCAGTGAGGGAAGTGGCTATGACTGTACCCAAGTGATGCAGGCTGTTTGGGAGGGATGTTACAAAGTATTGTGAAGTGGCGAGAAAATAATAGCAATGAACAGCTATGTACCAGAGACATTTTGGGGAATGGGATCAAAAACAGTGGGGGGAGAGAAATGCACTGGACTGTGGTGATGGCCCATGGGTGATTTGGTGATGGGAAGTGACCCAGGTAGAAGGCCTCACAGAAGCAGTGGTGTTTGAGCTGGGTATTGGAGCCTGCCGAGTGGAGAAGAGAGAAGAGCATTTATTCCTGTAAAGAAAATAGCTTTTAAAATAGGGAGTTCAGGGGAGAGCATTGGCCTGATTTGTGACTGGAGACGAAGGGGTGAAAGGCCCGTACGGGCGCTGTGAGCCACCCCACACTGCCCTGGAGGGCTGCGCCAGGCTGAGTCAGGATTCACAGGAGTTCCAGGTTCTTTGTAGACTGCTCTCAGGAGGAGTGGCGATCCCCCCCAGAATAGGAACAGAGTCCTCCTCCTCTCCACCATTCCTGTAGAGAGCCCCAGATGCTGGTACCTGATTAGATGGGGTGACTTGTTTCAGGAGTGGGATGAGGTGGGGAGGCCACCCAGACCTGGGGCACAGTGGGGTGTCTGTGCTGGGTCTCGGGGACAGCTGTAGGACAGGTCTTGGGGAGTGAGTCGTGCCCCTCCACATCCAGGCCCTGCCTGCCCTTGGCTGGGCAGTAGTCAGCCCCATTGGTTTCTGCAGTGGCTGTTCAAGTCTGTCCCCCTTTACCCACCTAAGACCTGAGGGGACGGTGCCCACCAGAGACATGTGTGGCTTGCTTGACATCCGTGTGCTTTTGAGAACCATCTAGAACCCCTAAAGATGTGTTTAAAGTTGTGACTGTCCCTCTGTGCTGGCTTGTCATTGTGGTCCTGTCACTTGGTCCTGTCACACCTTTTTTAACAGATTGTTTTTTTCTCATCAGATCCTTTCCACGGACTAACCCTCTCACTTATGTTCTGTCTGTCTGTCTTTCCCCCCTCCTCCTCTCTCCGGCTCCCCTCCTTCTCATAGACTGACCCTTGGTTATCGTTGCAGAATTACGGCAGCGGCATGAGACCACCACCCAACTCCCTCGGCCCCGCCATGCCCGGGATTAACATGTAAGGCAAACGTGGCCCAGCCGCGGCCCAGAGCCTGTGGCTCCCCTTGCCCTCCCATGGTGCCCCCGAGACCTTGTGGTCTCAGTAATTCCCAGAGGCTCCCTGGACCTCAGTCTCTTTGCCACGAAGGCAGGGATGTTGCTGCTCAGGATGAGTGTGCACCCCTGACGTGCTCCTGCGAGCCTGGCACCGCTCTGAGCTTGCTTCGTGGATCAGCTCACCTGATCTTTATAATAACGCTAAATTGACTGCTATTATCCCCTATTTATAGATGAGGTAACTGACGCAGAGAGGTGAAATTAACTTGTCCAGGCTCACACAGCCTAAGGGGCAGGGTCAAGATTGAACCCCTGGAAAATTGACCCATCCTAATGCCTCAGGGGCTCTTAACCCCTTGGCAGTAATAAGAGCCCTGCGGGAATATGTGGGTTTCCTTCCTAGGGAAAATGCAGGTGCAGAGGACGTTACCTATTGCACTCGTGGGTGTCACTTAGAGGCAGTGAGAGCTGCCTGCCTGTCCATGAGACTTTCCCACCCAGAACCAGGTGCTCTCTAACGCCCTAGCGCCTGGCGAAGGCTTCCTGTTCCTGAGGGCGGCCCTCTGGCTCTGCCCCTGCTGGCACCAACCCTAGGAGTTTATAGCACCCTTTTCACTGTCCCCATCTCTCTCCCTCTCACAGGGGCCCGGGAGCTGGCAGACCCTGGCCCAATCCTAACAGTGCTAACTCAGTGAGTACACAGTCCAGCGGGTAGCGTTTGCAGGAGGGTCTCCAGGGCAGGCCCCGGTTGAAGGTGTCCCAGGGAGGAGGGATGCAGTGCAGCAGGATTCCATGTGATCCTCCGAGGAGAAGCTGGGGTAAACAGAGCACCTGCCCACTGCTCTGCAGGAACTCTGAGGAATGAGCCGGGAGCCTGGCTCTGAGCACACCATGTGCGTGGAAGCTCCTGCCTCACGCCTCTTCCCCAGCAGGACTGGCTTCCCGGCCTCAGAGGAGCTGGGGCAGGGACTCACCACGGGGAAAGCTGGATGAGCGGGGGGACGGGGGGCTCTCACTCACCTTCCTTTTCGAGCTGGACCTGCCCCACAGCTCCCAGCCATGCTGTGCGTAATAGGAGCCCTGGTGCTCACGGTCAGTTCAGTGTAGGAACTGGGCTTGGCCCATGCTCCCTGCCTCCCGGGAAGCTAAGCAGGTGATGCAGTGGGCCCCACAGCCTCCCCCATACAGAGTGGGCTGTGTCCCCCAGTGGATCTGGACGCCATAGGGGGCTGCCTGTCGGAGGAAGTGACTGATAGCTGGCTCCCACATCTTGTTTCTAGATTCCATACTCCTCCTCATCGCCGGGTACCTATGTGGTAAGTGCGTGTATGTAGGGTGGAGGCGGGCTGGGGGCAGCGTTAGCACCCTGAATCTCTAACGCATGAGTCTATGAGGGTCCTCGTCACTCTGAACGTAGGTTCCCAGCTGGGCTAGAATTTCCTGTCAGTCTTCAGGTTTTGCTGTCAGTGTTCATAAGCCTCTGGTGACTTACAAGTCCCCAAACGGAACTGGAAGCTGGCTTTCCTGAGTGGGGGGCCTGAGCAGTGGGCTGATTGGTGTCCACCACAGGTCTCCAGTTCACCGATTGACATGTATGTGAACATAAACATGTTCTTGGTTTAAAAAAGAAATGGAAGTCCAGTTTCCAAGGCTTAAACACTTGGGGGTTTAGCAGGAGCTAAGCCTGGTGCTAACATGGCAGGGGCTTGGGGACCCCTCCCCACATGTGTCATCTCCTTTGCTTCCTGATGTCAGTTTTTATTTCATCTTCAGGGACCTCCTGGTGGTGGTGGCCCCCCTGGAACACCCATCATGCCTAGTCCTGCAGGTGAGAGGGTTTGGGAAGAGGATGTTCGTGGGGAGGAACAGAGAGTCCTGAAGGGTCATGGTGCAGAGCCAAAGCTTAACAGACAGATCCCCTGTGAAGCAGCACATCCCAGCCAGCCATTTTAGCAGCAGAGATTTAGGGGGGACAGGAGGCCCTTCCTGCCACCAACCAGCCCTGTGGCCCTATTCCCACTCCTCATTTCTGCTAAAAGACGTGGCAAAACCGGGAGATCCAGAAACCAGGGAGCTTAACTCTCATCCCACCGTCTTTATTGCGCCTTTTCTAGATGACTTAAAAGGGGCCTGGGTTCTGGCATCCCGGGGCCAGGACTCTGCAGCATGGTACCTCGTAAGTGCCCAGATCTCTCTGACTTCTCCCCTTTTCTTTAATCAAATGAAGGGTGTGTGGGCACACATGGGGGCCTGTGCCTGCACACACACAGCATCACAATTGTGTTTCCAGCTAAAAATAGCAAAAGCCAGCTAGAGGGAATTCAACATACAATCCTTACCCACCCCAAATAAAAAGTGAGAGATAGTTGGATTTCTGCCCAAGATAGAGGGTGCTGCCTGCCCCTGACAGAAACATATTAGCTGATTTCCTAAGGAGACTTTCCTGGCTAATTGGGGAGTCAGAGTTGTCCCTCTCTCCCGCCCCCCTCAGCTCCCCATGGCAGGGAAGCTGCTCAGCTGCAGGGGTGGAGCTGACGGCGACCGTGATATTCCGGCTCCCGCACCGGCTCCCTCTTTCTGCTGCTGCATTTTTATGAGCTGCATGACCTACATTCAGACTGGGTCACATTAAACCACTCCATATGTTAATGCGCCTCCAGCCCCATCCCTGCCTCTCCCTCCTGCCCCATCAGCGTGCAGAGTGGCTCCCGGGTAATTTGTGGTGTTTCTTTTGCCTCAGTTTGATTAAAACTGCTGGGCAGGGGCACAGGTGGGAATTGGGCGGGCCATGCTTTGTCCCGGGCAGTGTCTGGGGACTAGGTTTGGTTTGGGGTGGGGAGAGGCAAACTCAGCCTTTGGTCCCCCTTTGCCATGTCCACAGTGCTGTCCAGACACCCTGAAATTCTTTGTTTCAGGGTTGAGTGGTTTTCACAGTTGAATTTTCTGTGATTAAAAACTTTGTGAATCTTCATTAAATACAAATTAGCCAGAAAATGGTGGTACTTAGAGGAAATTTTAGGTGATAAAATACAAAAGAATGAGTTCAAGTGCCACGAGTTTGTTTTAATTAAGAAATGAATTAATCACCCCGACTTACGGGTTTCCACTGTTCTACAGATTCAACAAATTCCAGTGACAACATCTACACAATGATTAATCCGGTGCCGCCTGGAGGCAGCCGGTCCAACGTAAGTCTGCTTTCTAATAATTTACATATCAGATACCATAACAAATCATAATTAACTTCATCAGCTGAGGGGAAAGCAAGTTTAATTGATTTCAGCCATTTGTTACCAAAGATGAATAAAATAAACCATCAGAAAAGTGATTAACTCTTGGGCAACTCCATTCCCATTTCTGAGCTGCCGGGGGTGGGAAAGAAGTGGGTAGAGAGATTTTCACCCTCTGGGCAGAGCGGGGTGCTGGAGAGGGAAAGCGCAGGTGGCAGGTGGGTCTGGGCCCCGCTGGCGTGCCCTAGGCAGCCCCGCACACTGCACGGTTTCCCTGGCATGGGAGCCCACAGCAGTAGCCCCTGGTTGGACCTGTCTACCCTTGCCGCCAGGGCTGCTAGGAGCTGATGACCCCCACGCCTCTCAGCCCCGTTGCCGCTCAGAGTTGTGGCCTCAGCGAGGTTGCAACAAATGCCACATTCCCTCACCCACTCCCTTGTGTCCGAGCCTCTGGGCTGGGCCAACTCAGCCTCTTTAAAGCCGGCCTGAGCGCCCCGTGGACGGCTGTCTGGCTCACCTCCACACAGCCCTTCCAGGTGGGGACAGGAATCCACCCTGCAGAGCTCAGGGTCTGGAGGGAGGCTGCTGCGTGATGAATCACTCATTTGTGGACTTGTAGATCCAGATGGTAAACTCTGGCCTGCTTGTAGTGGGGGGTACGGAGGAGGGTTGGTCTTTTGGGATGCTCTCTCTGGTCCTGTTGGCTCAGTTCCTGGGGTGATACCTGAATCACCTTCTGTGCTTAAACCCTGTTTGTGGGTGAACGGTAGACACTGATGCGTTGAATGCGCCCTGCAGTCTATGAGGAGTAGAGGGGCCTTACTCAGGGTGTATGGAGCCCACATGCCCATGCCACAGCCTCTGCTCGATCACCTGTCTTACTCCCCTTCCTGGGCATCTGGGACCTCCCACCGCCCCACTGGGCTTCAGCACCAAAAGCTCTATATCTCCGGAGAGCATTTCCTAGAACACAAAAAGTCCTGGTTCTTGGCTACGGATGCAGTACTTGGGGCAGAAAGTATAAAATGGCCCAAAAGGCAGGTCCTGAGAGCACTAACTGTCAGAAGACAGCATAGATTACCCACCACACACACACCGTCAACATTGCCAACGCCAACATGACCCAGAAATCACCAGAAAAAAAGAAAACTGAGCAGTGGCGAGTGAGCAAAGTGGGGCGTGGGAGAGGGGGCACGGATGTAAGCCTTTGGAGTCACTCGGGTTTTTCTCATCCTCCACGAGACACCAGTCTTGCCATCGAGAGTCATGGCCGCTGTGTCAGCCCAGAGGCGCCTCCCATGGGCCCAGTCACCCTGTCCCTCCTGCCATCACTCTGTGAACCAAGGAGGTTCCTGAGTCGAGGGTGACAGTGATGACCTGTGGGACAGGCCCCGGTCCTGTCCGCTGTGGGAGTCTACCAGGTTTTACCAGCACTTGAGGGGCTTCCCACAAGTCGTGATGATGCAGTCATGTCCCCTGGCTCCTGGGTATGTCCCCCCTAAAAAATGGAGCCTCCCTTGATTTCTGGGAAGATATTTTTTTCTCCCACCATGTAATTGTTTTTCATGTCCAGAGTTTACTAGACAGGGGCCAGAGCTTCCTCCCAGACTCAAGTTTGTGATTCTTAATCAGCACATGAGGCCCATAAGGATACTTTGTCTATTCTAATTCGGTTTCTGAGAAGACTTCACTCGTCCTCAGTGGCCCTCTGATCCCATGGAATTAGGTTCTTCGCCTTCTCTGTCTCTTTCTGGTGTTCCTCAGTCCTGGTCTTTAAGAAGTTCAGAAAGTCCCACAACTAATGACATCTTTTCCTCAACCTCCATCTGGAAGTTTCTGGGGAAGTTGTCACACAGAAAACATAAAATTCAAGATTGCTTTTCTCTTGTTCAAATGCAAACTAGACTCTGCTTGTTTGTCTGCATATTTGGCAGACAGTACACAGTTAATTTTGGCAAATATCACCTCATCTGTAAACTTACCTGCTTAATAAATATCCCCATACTTTGCTCCAGTATAAAACTATCATTTATTACTTGTGTTCCCAGACTTCCATAGTGGAGGCTTGAGGTCACTTGTCAATTTCCTCATCTACAGAAGCACTGAGAGTTTTTAACTTTCTAGAAAAGGCGAAAGCCTCTTGACGTGCCCACGAGACGGCCGTCACTGTTGCTGCCATAGAGAAGATGTTAAAGTGGCAGCCTGCTGGGGCGTCCTTCAATATTTGAAAATCCATGGAATTAGGTAGTGGGGGGAATGGAATTCCAGTAAAATAGAAATGAGTAAGACTGCTTAAGATCTCAAAATTTATCATCAGTAAGGGCAGCTAAGTTTTCACTATTAAAACTGTAACTTACTTGGAATCCAACTTGGATGTCACAAGTTTAAATCCCCTCTGTTTTTAAAACCGCTTTCCCTGGGGAAGAGAAGTCTAATTGATAATGGCATCAGCATGCTTGGGAATGGTCAGAAATGATGGACAGCTCAGGCGGGGACAGCCCACCTGATGAGTTACAGTTGCAAAGGGCCTGACCGACAGGTAGCGTGACCATCCTGGCCATGCACGTCTTTGGAGAGTTGGAAGCAAATTTCTACAGGTCCAGTGGCCCCTCGAGGAAGTGTACGCCCAAGTTCCCCACATGGGCCATCCTGTGGGAGGGCAGACTGCTGAGAGCAGGGCAGACTGTGAACACCGGGGCTTTCGCAGAGCAGAGCATAAAGTCAAAGTGAATTTTATGTTTGACTTGTTCAGTTTACCACAGCACAGCGAAAAGAAGGCCGCCCTAAGAACTGCAGGTGATTGGGGAACAGGGTAGCGGGAAAAGCAGCTTCTTTTGCTTTGTTGCATCCCTGAAGGCAGACGGGTCCCTGGTATCTGTTTGGAGCCACCTGAGAAAATTCAGCCAGGGCTTTTACTCTGGTTCCTCTGCTCAAACGAGCACGGTCCAAGCCAGAAACCAGCCTCAGCCTGTGTTGTCCATCTGTAGACATAGAGGCTTTGTCAGATTGAACCAAATGGTGTTACTTGAGTGGGTTATATTATCTTGTTTGAAAAAGGGGCCAGGGGAGCAGAGCACAAACATCCTATTATAAATTATGGAATAGAAGGAACGTCATTTAAAAAATTAAATATAGGTAATATCTATTTAATGACTCATATTTAGGTTTCTTTTTTTAAAATCTCACGCATATTTAAAGACTACACAGCAATTTAAATATTCAATAGTTTAAAAAAAGTTAAGGGCCCTCCCTGGTGGCACAAGGGGTTAAAGCACAGCACTATGAAGCTATCCTCAGCCCCTGCAGCAGTGAGCTCGATCCCCAGGCAAGGAGGTGACCCACATGGGCAGCAGACCCCTCCTGACCCGCTCGCTGCTCCCCTTAGCAGTGCACTTTGTCTATCGGCCTGTTTTGCTCCCCACTATCTCTGGTGAAGCCTCTCACTGCCCTTGCACCTCTGGCCTATAGTCCAGTTCTGGATATAAATAAATAAATCTTTTTAAAAAAAAAAAAGGTAAAAGGAGGATAGTAACATTGTAAAAATATATTTTTCTCGTATATTTATTAAACTGGCCCTCCTAATTACCTTATTAAGTAGTTCAGCTGTTATTTTAACTAATAACATTTCAGTAACTAGAAGTAATACAAAGTAGTACAGAGACAAGTGGCTCTCGACTTGCAACTGAATGAAATTGCACTGCTTGCTTATATCAGTTGCAAAAATTAACTCAAAGTAGACCTTGGACTTTTTAAGTGTCAGAGTTTTTATAAACTATGACAACACTAAAAAGAAAATGGGACTAAATCTTCGTGACCTGGGTTAAGCAAAGTCTTCTTAGATATAACACTAAAAGCCTAAGTGACAAAAGAAAAAAGTAGCTAGGTTTGGACTTCAACAAACTTTAACACTGTGTTTCATTTCAATGAAAATAAAAACCCATGGAGAAAATATTTATAAATACATATTTCTGAAGAAAGACTCGGCTCCAAAATAAATAACTCTTAGACCTTCATAAAAAAGAAAACTAATTTCAAAATGGGCCAGGGAGCTGAAGAGTCATTTCTTCACCAAGATGTACAGATAGGCAAGAAGCACAGAAAAGAATGGCCACGGTGTTAGTGGTCAGGGAAATGCAAGTCAAAACTGCAAGGAGCGACTCGTGCCCACATGGGTGGCTGCAGTCTAGAAGATGAATGATGACCAGTTTCTGCAACCAAAGGAAGATTCTGGTGCCCTGGGAACTGCTGGGGTTGGGGTGGAGTCTGCTTCGGCAGACAGTCTGGCCGTTCTCGGAAGGTTAAGCAGAGTGACCCCTGTGATCCTGCAGTTCGGTGCAACAGCAAAAAGCATGTGCACATAGTAACTGTATGTGAGTGTTCATACAGCCCTAACGTAGGAACAGCCTGTCGGTCTGCTGGAGAGTGGGTACATAAAACGTGGTATATCCATGCAAGGGAATATTACTTGGCCATAAGAAGAAATGAAGTACTGGTTCACGATAAAACAAATGAACCTTGAAAACCTGTTAAGTGAAAGAAGCCAGCCTGGAAAGGCCACGTGTCATGTGCTGGAGGGTTGTGTTAAATGCACAGAATAGGCAAACCCATAGCTATAAAAAAATAAGTTAATGGTTGCCTGGGGGTGGGGTTTGTGGGAGTATGGGGGATGTGTAACTTGAAATACCTGTTACTATATTTCTGTTCAAGTAATGACTTGAGTGAGTGTTTATTATGTTACCATGCCTGGGTTTTTTCAGTCTGGGGTGTCCTGGGCGGACTTCCTAAAAGTCGGTCACTTCATTTCTCTTGGGTTAGTGAGTGTGAAGTATTTGCCAGTTTGTATTGTAAAATGTACCTCAAAGCCTGTGAGCAAATCTGGAGGCCACTGGGGTGGGGAGGCAGGGCTGCTGTACCCGTGAGGAGGGGGCGGGTGCCCTAACTGCCCATTGCTCACACTGGGCTCTGCCCTGGCCACTCCATATTGGCCCTGCCAGGAGGCCGCCTGCTCTGCCAAGGCCTGCTGGGAGTGACTCCATGCTATCTCTCTGACTGACTACTACTATTTTGCTGCTTTGTCTCCTCTCCCAAGCAGCCTATTCTGATTTCTCCATCCTGCATTCCCAGTGCCTCTTCTGAACAGTATAGCCATGCTTTTGGCCTAAAGCTTTTTCTCTGGGGTGCCTCCTTCCTCTTGAGCTAAGATCCAAATGCTACTCAGCTCTGGTCCTTAGCACCCAGCACAGGCCAGATGCCAGTCTCCAGTCTGCCCTCTCCATCACTGTCCACCCCAGCATCTAGTCTGCATCACAGGGCCATGACTCTGCAGACTGGACTCGCCATCCCTTTGTGGTCACGTGCTGTGACCTCTGGCCTTCAGTCGTTTCCACTGAGTTGATGTTGATAGTGTAGACAGGACTGAGGATGGGAGTGGAGCAGATTCTGACTTTGACCTCTGACCTACCTGCCCCATCAGCTCTGCAGGGGCTTGTCATCAGTGACTACTCTCCATACAGTCCAAGAGACAACCCTTCCTGTCCCAGGGGCCCCAGCCCCACTTCCCCTCCTTTACTCAGCAAACCCACCTCTTCTCAGCCCAGGGAAATGCTGTCATTTCTGAGGAAACACTGGAAGGTTATGTGCCCACTCCAGGGCCAGACTGCCGAGTTTCCTGTCCCCTCCATCTCCTGACCTTGGGCAACATACTGCCCGCTCCGCTTTAGTCTCCTCCTGTGTTCCTGTTTACGGTCCCTGGCCTGGCCTGGCTGCCTGTGTGTGCTCTACCTGCCCAGGGGTGCAGATCCCATGACCGGTGTAAGGGGTTTGATTTGAGGGCATGCCCTAGTGGCGCAGTCGGGTTAAAGTGCAGTGCTATGAAGCTAACCTAAGCAGGCCAGGGAGGTGACCCACCTGGCGCAGCAGACCTGTCTACCCGCTGCTCCCCTCAGCAGTGTGCTTTGTCACTCTGCCTGTTCTGCTTCCCACTCTGTCTCTAGTGAATCCTCTCACCGCCCCTGCACTCTGGCCTGCATCCCAGTTACTATATATGCATAAATAAGTAACATCTTTTTTTAAAAAGGCTTGATTTGAGAGCTATCCCTGCCTGCATGATGCTGTGTGATATGGGCCAGCCCCCTTCCTCTCTGGATTGTTTCCTCACTGAGTGCAGGAACGAGCCCCTCAGCTCTGTACAATTTCAAGGTTCAAGGGAGGTGCCAGCTTCTGGTGTCCAGTACCGGGGTGTACGCGAGGGAGGAACCCCTCCAGAACAGGAGCTCTGGCACCTCTTCGTAGCCCAGTGTGGGAGCCTCGAGGGGTTGTGGAGGGCCTCGACCTCACTCCCTGTGCTTCTCCCTCAGTTCCCAATGGGTCCCGGCTCGGACGGTCCGATGGGAGGCATGGGTGGCATGGAGCCACACCACATGAATGGATCGCTAGGTAAGCCAGCACCCATCCCTGGTTGAGGTGGCCCCTGCTGACCCTGTCCAGGAAGCTTTCAGCTCAGCAAGGCCTGGTCCACAGCCCTGGCCTGAGCTGGGCGCGCACGGTGAACCTTAGAGAAAGATACCAGGGCAGAAAATTCTCTGTGCAGAAATGACGTGAAATGTGCATGGAAGGGCTTGGAGTCTGTCTACTGAAGAGCAAGCAAGCAACTGATTTGGCTTCTTTTTCCTTCCAGGGTCAGGTGACATAGATGGACTTCCAAAAGTGAGTGTCTGACAGTGCGTTTCTCCCCATCTGTGGGCGGGTTCCTGGGGGCCGAGGATTCACTCTCTCCTCTCTCTGCAGAATTCTCCTAACAACATAAGTGGCATTAGCAATCCTCCTGGCACCCCTCGAGACGACGGCGAGCTAGGAGGGAACTTCCTCCACTCTTTCCAGAATGACAATGTAAGACACCCACCCCGCACTAATGTCACCTGGGCCCTCGTCCCCCGGGGTGAGAGCCACGCCTGCCCTTCAAGTTTTGGGCCTTATTTTTCTACCTTAAGTGCAGTCCTCACCTTCCCACTGTAGGACCCTCACCACTGTCCCCTCCCCTGGTACTGGAGTCCAACCACCACCGGCAGGTCCTGTCCAAGTTTTCTGCCTGCCGCACAGGTCTCGGTGCTAATAAATCTGATGTGTCTGGAAAAGCTCTTGAGCTGGGACACAGGAAGTTGGGCTCCGGCCCACAGATTCACTGACCCCGGGGGGAGGGGAGCAGTGAGGAGGTCCATTTTCCTCTGTCATGAGGAGGAAGGTTCTTACAAGCAGTGACTTCCAGGGGTCTCGGTGCCCTGAGGTTGGCCGCCACCTACTCCATCCTGGGCTTCTCCTTAACAGCCTTGTTTTGATGAAACAGCATCATTGTTAAGTAGCTTTTGAGAACCTCAGACTTGCTCTCTCCCCACGGGGACTGTGACAGTGCCGGGGCTCATCGGGGGCCCCAGCACCCTAACAGGCAGGCCCTGCTAATGCTTCAACGGACAAGAGGGGGGGCAGCCCAGGGAGGGGGAGGTTGGAAGAAAGAAGGGGAGTGTGGGAGATGTCAGCTCCCTGCAGAGGCTGGCTGGGGAGGTGGATGTGATTTCTCACTCACTCCCAGCCCTGCCAGGCCGCAGCCCTCACAGCCCCCCTCCTCTCTCCTTCTCCCCTCCAGTATTCCCCAAGCATGACGATGAGTGTGTGACCCCTCCTCTTCTCCAAGACGCTGAGAGAGCCGGCATTGCAGGCGGGAAGATGCCAGAAATTATGCAAGAAGAAGTGAGGTGTCATTACCCAGGAGCTGGGGGGAGGGGCATCTCCCCGCTCCTCCACCCCACCTCCCCTCTCCACTCCCCCCCATCTTTCCCAATTTTAGTTTCATGCAATAAAAAGGCCGAACTTTTTATTTCATAAAACATGAAGGACAAAAACTCAAAATAAAAATATATTTCAAATCACCGACCAGAAAAATCCCACCCCTTGCCCTTCCCCAAAAGGACCTTTTACGTACATGACACTTTTTTTGTTGTTTTTTTGTTTTGGGGGTTTTACCGTTGGGATTTTTTTATTTGTTTTCAGGGGGGTTTTTTTGGGGAAAAATTTTTAAAAATGGAAGCTTCTAGCAAGCCCACCCCACCCGACCCAATCAACCTCTTTGCTTTCTTTAAAAAAAAAAAAAAAAGGAAAAAGGACAAAAATCAACCAAGGCCTGCTACCTGTGCGCCTTCTACCAGGAAGCCAGTTCTAGGTGTGAGGCCTCACGCTGTCTTTGTAGCCATCTAAAAATAATAATAATAAACTGGGCAGTTTACAATCGGTGGTTTCTTTGAAAAGGCCTTTTTTGGAAAGAAAAAAGGAAGGCGCCCTGTTCCACGCGGGACTGTCGGTTGGTGTGGATGGGCATGGGAAGGGCGGGAGCCTCTCGTTTTGCTTGGTTTCTCCCGCCGAGGTGGCCTGAGCAGCTGCACAACTTGGACCCCAGGAAAACCTCGCCCCGTTGTGTGGTCGGAGGGCCCAGACCAGCCGCCGGCTTTCAGGATTCCTCGGAGGAGAGCGGACCGGGTGGCAGGCTCGGGGTTCCCGGGACGCCTCCGCCTCTCTCCCGACCTCCCGCTGCTCCACCCCAGTCTTCCCTGCGAGGATACTGCCAGCTGGGTGGGGGCCTGGAGCGAGTGGGGGAGGCCTCCCGCAGGATGGCTATGACCTGGGACTCGGAAACTGACCTCCCTCCGCCTTCTCACCCACAGCGCCGTCAAGCAGATGGGCCGCGTGGGGCCGGAGTCTGGGTTTTCTTTTGTTTTTGTTTTTGTTTTTTTTTCTGTATTCTTCCTTCTTTTTCAAAGACGGGATACTGACCAGGATCGCTCTGTATATGCTTGGAACTGGACGGAAAGACTTTGGAATGGCTGTGGGAGGGGCGGGGGGACACCAAGACCAAACAGACGTGCTGTTTCCACTCCTGTTTTTATTTTCAAAAACCGACCAACTCGACCGCGGAGCCCGGCGCCCCTCCCCGGAGGGGTGACTCTGGCCTCCCTCACCTCACCACCCCCCCATGGAAACCTTTGTGTCTTGCCCTGAAGACACCCGAATTCTTTGTACATTTACACCGCTCTCCCTCCTCCTCCCCTGTAGCTGGTCTTTGTTTTCTTCCCTCCCTTTCTGATCCATGTATATCATATTATGTGAGATATCATCTGCCTGAAAAAAGACCTCGTGCGGATTATTGGGAACATTGTAGCTGTTTCTGTGTTTTTTCTTACCTTGTAGTCTGGTTCTGAATTAAGAGAGGAAAAAAAAAGTAATTATGATACATTGTAGTTTGTGTACGATATATGTTGATAACGTTTTATTAAAGGGACATCTTTTTCCGCAGCCCTTCCTGCCATGTTTGGGGGTGGAGGGGGGGACGGGTCAGTGTTCATTGTGCTGATGACAAAATGCAAGGCGAGGGGCTGGTCACAGTTTTTCTTGGCACGAAGCGAGGTGTGCTGCCTTCTTTTCCTGGCATGTTAATTCTGTTTCTTGCAGAGCTGCGCTGGCCTTGGGGTGGCCTGGGAGGCAGGGCGTCAAGCCCCACTTTAGATACTGGGGATATTCTAAAAAGCCCAGTCGGTGTCTTCTTCCCACCCGTTTTAATCGACCAGATGTCTGCTTTCCTGGCGTCTCCTGGGCTCTGCTGTCCATGGAGAGTCCCTCTTGCCCGGGGTGGCCCAGTGGGATGCCCCCATGCCTTGCTTTTTGTCACTTGAGATGGAATTTGTTTCACCAGCAGTCGTTCGGGATTCCAGGCAGCCACAAAGCCTTCCATCCTCAGCTACTGGGCCACTGAGAGCAGGGTGTTGATTTTTAACCTCCAAGGCAATGAGGAGACCTTGAAGATTTTATGAGTCATCGTTTGACTTGACTTTTAGCAACCTGATGTGGGATGCATCGGAGAAAAGGTTCTGGAGGGGCCTGACAGATAGTGGAGCCCGGTCCCGGCCGTCATCTAGGCAAGAAATAGCTAGGCTGAGGTGGTGGGGGGAGGGGGGAGCCATGACCACAGCTCAGCAGCTGTTTCCCTGCCAGTCACCAGTGTCCTCAAGGTCCCAACTCTAATGTGACAGCTGCCCTGGTGATGGGGGCAGGGAGGGGCAAGAGCCTCGACTCAGGAAAAGTCAGCCTGCTAGAGACCCACAGCTCCCACACACTGGGCAAGCCTCGCTGAAGCCAGAAAAGAACCTTGAGGCAAGCCAGCACCCAGTGGGAGGAGGAGATGGGGCAGAGCCAGGCCCACTCCCCTCGGCTCCAGGCCCTTGCTGACCAGAGCAGCCCCACCCTGGCTTGAAGAACGTGTCTTCCATGAGTACTCCACCCCAAGTGAGCAGAGGGGGACTCTTGGAGGGAAGTTCGAGAAAGGAGGAAAGTGAGGTAGACCGGCCCTATAATGCCCAGCCCTGGGCTCTTTGCAACAGAGCAGACTAAGGGAGATGGCAGTGGGGTAGGGTGCAGGGGAGTGCCCGTTCTGGCCTGTGCCCGGGCTTCCTCTCCATTGCTGGGGACACCCCAGTCCTTGGCAGCTGACCACTGGTTTTTTGCCTCTACCTCAGCCTTTTCAACAGCCAAAAGGTCTCACGTCTGAGTGTCAAACTCGTGCAGCCTCTGGAATTACTGAGCACCTAAAACATGCCACAGTCGGGCCCAGCTCTGAGGATACAGCAGTGAACAAAACACGTGGGAGCACTGAGGAGGGGTGGGCTTCGGGAAGAGCAGGTTTAGAGGCACCGCCCCACTTGGCTAGCTCAGTTAGGGATGCTTGTTAGACGTCAGGGTAAAGATGTCGAAGAAGCAGGTCTGGGCTAGACACCTTGGGAGTTGGCACTTCCATGGTCTTAAGACAGCTGAGATCTGCAGTGATGGGGGCGCTTTCAAGGACTGGGCCCTGGGGCTCTCAGCTGTAAGAGCTCTGGGGAACAGGAGGAACCAGCAATGAGGCAGAGGAGTGGCTGGGAGACCAAGGTGCCCAGTCTGTGGGAGGGCCTGGGGCAGGCAGCTGAGGATGAGATGAAGTAGTTTAGAGGTTCAGAGGGAGGCCGACACCGGGCTCCTTGGTGTATTTGAGGCATAGAATTCCCAGCTCCAATCTAAGGACTGTCCCCTGATGAGCAAAAAAATGGAGGATGGGTCCTTGAGTGTATGCTACAGGATGGCATTCCTCCTGTAGGGCCCGGCTGCCAGAGCTACCAAAGAATGAAAGGAGCCACAGAGATGACCTCCCATCACTGGGCGTGTGTAAGCTGGTCTGCGCCAGGGTAGGTGAGGGTGTGTCGGAAGGGGGGTAATCTGTACTTACCCCTCATATATCCATGTAGGAGTTGTGGCCAGCTGAAAAATGCTTTCCAGGGTTGCCCTGGTAGCACTGGGGTTAATATCTCAGTGCTATCACACTACTGAGTATGATCCCCCGCCAGGGAGCTGACCCAACTGGCACGGCAGATCTCACCTGTCTCACCCGCTACTTCCCTCAGCAGCGTATTTCAGTAGATCCTCCTGTTCTGCTCCCCATTCTGTCTCTGTTGACTCCTTTCACCCCCCTGCACCTCTGGCCTGTACCTCAGTTCTTGTATCTTAAAAAAAAAAAAAAAAAAGGAACAAAGATGGCTTCCAGAAGGAAAATACAAACAGCTGTAAGTTGACCAGCTGATGCCTTCGGCAGGCTTCTGGGAAGCCTCATGCCTTCCCCTTTATATGTCCCATCAAAGGGCAGCTCAGGCTTCTAAGAGCAGAGAGCCTAGCTCTGTGCTATAACTTCCTTCGCTGAAATTCCCCATGGTTCAGTTTTTGGCGTTTACAGTAACACAGAGAAAAAGCCCCTTCTCAGGAGCAGAGATGAAGTTAAAAGCAACGCACTCTGACCTCCAGCTGAGTTTTTCCTGAGCAAGGACTGGGTGACAGGACAGATCTGGATCCTTAACCAGTGCATCTCTCCAGAGGCTCCCGACACTTCTGGGGAGAGGAGCCCCTGCAACAGGGTGGTCTGCCAGCAGCCACACAGGTAGGCGGTGGGTGAGTTAGTGGTTTGCATTTGGAAAAGGCAAGATAGTCTAATGAGTGCTGAGGGGCTTCCTCCAGCTCTAAGAAGGATCCACGGAGGCGCTGAGATCTGAGGTGACCCTGGCCTGATCCTTCACCAGCTTTGGGCATGCAGGGACAGAGTGTAGCAGGCACCCACCCTAGGCCCAGCTCAAGCCAGTCTTGGAGGAGGGCAAAGAGCAGCTGAACGTCCCTCCAGGTGATCCCACCTCTCCCAGGGCTTTTGAAAACCTCCAGACTCGTCTGCTTGAAACCTGGTCAGATGCAGCCTATTAATCCCAAGGTGGTGAAAAACTAAAAGGCACTTTATCCCCATTTTGCAGATGAGGATGAGGACCTGAGAGGACATCTGGAATACAGTTTTTCAGAAATGGCTTCCCTGCAGCCTGTCTGTGGAGCTCAAATACATGCCCACATGAGGATAGGTTCATATAGGTTCACGTAGCTTCATGGTGGTGACAGCGAAATTTTGCTTCCAAGAGCCCCAAGTTCCTGTAGTGGCCTCTGTATACCAAGTGTGACCCCCCCCCCGACCCCACCCTCCCCTCAGGCCATGCTTGTGCTTCCTTCCCCACTCTGACTGGGGGTCTTAGTCCTCAGGTCTTAAAGGCAAACAGCTTTAAAAGCATCGTATCTTTCCTTCTTTCCTGTTTAATGAGGAACTTGGGAAGGTGGTGAGGACAAAGTATGTGGGTGTTCGGGGTGTGGCCACATCACATCCGCTTTTAGTGCTTCACACATACCGCATGATCTCTGAGCAGAGGCTGGAGAGTGCAGTGGGCTCCCGGCTCGGCTCTGCGGCCCAAAGGGGGCACACTGAGGCCAGCTGTCAGGCTGTCCACACACAGGGTGGGCTGGGCTGAGGGCATGCCGCCCAGGCCTGCCCAGCAACACTGGCCCCCTTCCAGGGCTTTCCTCAAGCCTCAAGGTCACCTGCTGTCAGCTGACTCATCGCCTTCGTTCCAAATGCTTGTGGGTTAGGCTGGTTTCCCCTGCAGGGGGACCCTCTTCCAAGGGGCCCAGGGGCTTCAGCCTGCTGAGTCTGGAGTTTTTCACCACTTAACCAAGTATCACCACAGTGGCCTCCAGCTGGACTCCATACAGTCACCCCGCCAACTTATCCTCCCCTCGTCCCCTTGTTCTTAAAAAAAAAAAAAAAAAACCTCTTGGACTCAGCAATTCTGCTGCTAGGAATTTACCCAGTAGCTATGCTGGCAAAAGAACTCTAGGACGCATGAGCAAGGATGCTCACTGCAGCAGTTATTTATAACGCTAGCAACTGGAAACAGCCCAATGTCCTTTCATAGATATTAATGCAGCTGCTCAAAAGAAAGAGGTAGCTCATGGGTATGTATGCAGCAAGACCCCTGTGGCCCCAAGGTGTTAAGTGAACAAAGGGAGGTGCAGAGGTGTCTATAAAAGGAGGGCACTAAGGAGTGGACAGTCATACATTCGTACTACACCCTACATTTCCAAGCTGTGGCTACTCGGGGGGAGAAGACTAGGGGCTACTTGGGTGGGGGTGGCTTGACTTTTATATCTGAGTTCTTTAACTTTCTACTTGTATCACATAATTCCTGTAATATGAAGATTGGCCAACAGCATGGTTTCCCTGGGCCACAGGAACCCTGAGGTGCTCGACATTTAAAGGCCCCTAGTGAGCTGCCCCTTCCAGCCTCACCCAGCAACCTCCCTGTGCTCCCCATTTCCAGGGACTGCTGACCCCCCCAGTTGCTTCACGAATCCTGTTCTGCACCCAGGGCGCCTCTTCGTATTCCACCTTCACACACCACCACCAGCCTCACCAGGTTCCTGGCCCGGGTGGGCCCTCCTGTCCCGACTCCCACCAAGCCTAAAAGGTAAGCTGGAAAGTGGAAAGGGCACAGCCTGGTGATCAGACACGGGCCATGAGGCAGCTTTGCTCTTGTTCTCGAGTTGTGGCCAACGTGACGCGTGCTCCCAGGTCACCTTTCAGGAACCTTCCAGCTGCTGGGAAGTGCGGGTGGCTGAAGGCTCTCAGCAAAGTCCCCTTGCCTGAAGTGTCTCCTGAAGAGTGCACATCGCGACTGGGGCAGGACAAAGGAGGGGAGAGGTTAGCCAGCGTGGCTCCTGAGTGCGCACACACTGGCGCTGGCGAGGTCTAAGGTGCAAACCCAGAGCCCAGGCTCTCCCCCGCCCAGTGCAGACACCTTCACTCTCCTCAGGTTCTGATCTTGAAGGTTCTCCCCAAGCTTTCACCTGCAAATTCCCATCCCCAAGTTTCCCAGGGAGGTTGATGTAAAACACCAAATGTGTCATCTCAGTCCATTAATGGGGACACAAGGGAGACGCCCACCATGAGCCTTCTACCGGATCTCGCAGTCCCTGGAACTGCCCACAGTGTAACCCCAGAAGCACCTAGAGCACCATGAAGTGCTGTGTGATAGGCGCTGGAGCAACATAACTTAAGTCTTTCAGACACAGCAGGTCCTACTAGGCCTGTGTTTCACAAGAAATTGAAACTCAAGTCCAAGGCTTTTATTTGGAGTCACAGAATGGGCTTACGCAGGGCAGCTCAGCCACAGGCAGGCACCTGTGAGGGCAGAGCAGCTCACCACAGAGCCCACCGGCAGCTGTGGGCCTAGCGGCACCCTCAGACCACGCGCAGGATCCAGGGCCCCAGGAGGCTCGTTGCGGCTGGCGAGACCGGCGGGCCCAGCCAGGGCCAAGGCTGCAGGCAGGCCCCTGGCGTGGCAGGACACAGGATCCTGCAGGTCTCTCGGTGATCTTGGCTCATACAGCGCCATGCAGATACAGGGCTAAAAACTTCCTGAACGTCTCTGGCTGGAAACCCGTCGGCCCAACAGGCTCCTGGAAAGAACACAGCCCGTCAGGGCCTGCTATCGGACTGTGAGGCAGCAGTGAAACAGATCAGGTCGACGTAAATCTTAAATGCCTGGGTAAAAACTGTTCCCCTCTCTCCTGGACTTGGCAGCTGGCACTGGGGGGGCATGATGCTCCCCCAGCGGCTTTCAGCCAAGTCATGTGGGCAGTGCCCTGCCCCACCGGTCCCGTCACCTCACCGCTCACTTACAGATGCTCTGTCGCCCTGTGATTCCCGGGGGCGGCAAGCCCTCACTCACTGCACACACAGGCATCTTCTCTGTCTCCCAAGCCCACCCCAGTACTGGAGACCCAGCAGTGACCCCAACCTGACCCCTGCCCTCAGGAGCTTCCAGTCAAGTGTTCCAGCAGTGGTAATAAAAGAAGAGGGCCTCATAATAGAGGTAGGAAAGAGACACTAAGAGAGCAGGGGAGAAGATAACAAACACACTGGATTCCAAACGGAAGAGGCATGTGACTGCCTAAGCAGGAGAGCAGGGTGGGAGCAACGACAAGGAGACGTCAGAGCGCGTGCAGAGGCACGAAGCGGGGCGGGAAGAGCAGCGGAGGACGCGCCAGGGCCTGTGCTGGCCGGAGAGTAGGGAGGGGCAGGTGGGACAGGCGCGGAGGAGAGGAGGAGCCTCCCCACCAAGCCAGGGGGCCTGGTGCTCATGTGGCACTGCGGAAGGGAGACCTGAAGACGCAACGCAGTGAGCGAACTCAGCTGAGAACGGGCGCAGCGGCGGGCGGTGTGACCGCAGGTGAGACAATGGCGTCTGGAGCCAGAAGGGCTCAGCCCTGCGAGGTGGAATCAAGACTGACAGATGCTGGAGAACTCACTGTACCAGTGACGCACTGGTAACGTTCGAGGCTCAACAGTAACTCCACTTAGTGAATCCACTCGGGCCGAGTATGGGCCGCGGGACACAGTTTGTCACGGCTCTGGCGGGGCCTCCCTGGCCAGTCATCCCGGACTGTGCTTGTCCCTTCAGAGTGTCACCGCCTGCCACTGCAGTGTGAATGTATTTATAGAGACTGCCAACCCTACTGCACAGAAAGCAGGCCTGGCCTCTGCCTGCTGGGCACTGGAGTGCTGCAGAGCCTGCATCCTGGGAGGAGCTCCCTGTTGGTGGAAGGAAGAGGTGAACGCATCTCCACAGGCCCTGCCTTCCAGGGCCCTGAGCTCAGTGATGGAGAAACACACACGCGCGCAGCACGGCAGAGTGACTGTGCCGCACGGGCTGCGAGCACACATGAAGCACAGAGTGGGGGAGATCAGGGAAGGCTTCCCAGAGGAGGGGCAATTCGTCTCAGCCTGCAAAGCCAAGCAGAGGATGGACTGAGGGCAGAGAAGTGGGGGAGAACGGAGCACTCTCCTACACAAAAGGTGCAGTAGCTAAGATCCTGAGCTGCTTCAGCATGGGCACACTGGGAGACGTAGGGCGCTGGGCATGATGGGGTGAGGATGTTAGAGGGAAGCGGGAGGTGGGATAACAGCCTGGCAGGTGAAGCGCACGGTTTCCGGTGGGGTGCAGAGATCCTGGCGGCAAGTTCCTGAAGCCAGGGTCCCCTTCCCAGAGCTTCCCTCCCATCCCATCTCACCCCAGGCTCACTCTGGCCAGCAAGTCATAGGCCGGTCCAGGCTGCAGAAGCAGAACTTACCACGATCACCTTCTTTTTGATCACTGGGCGACACCAAAAGTGCTGATAGAGGAGCTGGTCTGCGTCCATCCAGACCAGATTCTTGACACCCTCGTCAGAGGCCAGATCGGTGGTGTTCAGCTGCAACACCAGGAACTGGAAGACCCGGCCATCAGTGGCCACGCTCTGCACGACTACTGGCTGCTCCAAGACCTTAGCGTCATCCTGAGAGGAGGAGACAAGTAAACTAAACCAGAAACCGGGCTGTAGGGATAGCACAGACCAGGCCATTTCTAGCGCAGGCCTTTAAAACAATGCCCACTCCCGCTGAGTGCTTTCACCATGGGCAATGAAAACCAAACGAGTTCAGGGCACTGTCCAGCCTGGCTCTGCCTGGCCTCGGATGCCCTGTGGCTGCAGGCTGCAAGCTCTTCGCCTTGAGCACATGAAATACTAATAATGCCTGCCACTGAGAGGCGCTGACTGGGCCAACCGCATAATATAGGAAGGGGAGCTGGGAGGTTAACGACAGGAGATCCCTCGAGTTCATGGTATTACATGAAGGGGAAAACAATGACATCAGTTCTATTAAATGCTCATCTGGAGAGCCAATGAATACACAAACTCTCATTCGGTTCTCAGTCCATTCGACAGATGAGGAAACTGAGACTCGGCAGTCACAGAGATGTGTGGTGACAGAAGCCAGGCTGGCTGACGCCCCAGCATGCACACCTGCCACGCTTATCCCCAGAGCCTGCCATCCTGAGTGCCCAAGTCTGCAGGCGGGCACCTTCCCTGGGCTCTGTGTTCTCAGTTAAAACTCTGAGAATGTACCAGATTCCCACAGCGTCCACTCCAATGTCAGCATTGGGATTTCGTGGGACAACACATTTACTAATTATCTCTTTCAACTCCTTAGTGACAGAGGTAACACCAGCTACCACTTACCGAAGACCCCTCACAAGGCTGACGTTACTCTAGTCCTGCACACAGCCACCTCCAAGTGCAGAAATGGAGCGATATGCTCCCATGTAAGATGAAGGAACTGAGGCTCAGAGCGGTGGTAGAAGCTGCTCAAGGTTACCCATGAGATGTGAGCTGGGATCAGACCCATGTTATTAAACCACTTAAAGCCTAAATGTTCTGGTTTCCACCTCGTGTCCCACTGTCTCTGAAAGTAGCACCTATTTTCACTCTCAGTAGTGCCCCAGCTTGGATGATAAATCCTATGTTCACCCCATTGAGATTTTGAAGCAATCAGTTTGGTGACAGCTCCCAACAAGCAGGCCCCACAAAGGGGGGTATCCCTGATTCAAAAACGCTGTCTAAATTCACCCTCCAGGGCTGGGTCTGATGTCAGGAAGAGCTAATGTCAGCCCCAGTGTGGGACACACTGGGACTGTTGGCCTTAGAAATACCTGTTCTTAGCAGCATGAGAAATAAATAAAAAGAAAAGTGCCTCTAAGTGTTAGCTGAGAATTCTGTATTGACTCTTTTCTCTCTCTACAGATCAATAAAACTGCAGGTAGTACATAAATTTCTCAGCAATTTTACCTTTTACATGGAATCTCTTCCCATAATTGCTCAACTTCACATCCCCAGGAATAATTTGTACATGGAAGGGTGGGGAAGCCTCCTCTTCTACCAACTGGGGGGCAATTGTGGCAGCATTACTGCCCCTGCTCGGCTGGCAAGAGCTGGCACAAAAGCTACAACGAGCCCGCAGGCTGGGGATGCGGCACGTCACTATACCTCCTCCCCCTGCCCAGAGCTGGGCGTGATCAGCAGCCTCAAAGGTGGAGGAGCAGGCTCCCCACGTGCCCCGCCCCCTCCCTGCCCACCGGCTGTGGGATCTGAGGCAAGTGAGCTCACCTTTCAGAGCCTTCCAGCAGCAGAGAGAGGAAATCAAAGCTTCCAAGGACCGGAAAGACAGGGGCACACAGCAATACACTAACTTTTTATTGTGTTGACCTTGGGCATGTTACTGAGCCTCCCTGAGCCTCAGTTTCTTCATCTGTAAAGTGAAGCTAAGAGCACCCACCACGCTGGGTTATTACAAGGCTGAAAGAAGACAGCTGACTCCTAAATTTCTGTGCAGTGGTTTTCAAACGAGATTGTGACAGCAACACTCATGGCCAGTTTTATCAGGATAAAACCCTCCCAAGTTTCTGATGTAGCAGGTCCAAGGTAGGTCTGAGAATCTGCATTTCCAGCCAAGTTTCCAGATAATGCTATTCCAGGATATTTTGAGAAAGTCCATCCCACTGTCTCCTTAGGATGACCACACCTTCCCAACCCCACCTAGCTCCTAGGCTGAGGAGAATGGAAAGCAATGTTCTGAACCACACCTCCAGGAAGCACGAAACTCTAACCAAAGCCCAGAGCCTGGCAGCAGCTCAGAACCAATCACACTCTCAAATACACACGAGCCCAGGGATCTGGCCCAGGCGTGCTTGAGGCTTCCAGAATGCCCCTGAAGCCTTTGCTCCCAGCCTGGTTTTCCTCCAATCTCATGAAAGCTCTGTGTGACGACCACTCGGTCCGGCAGTCTATACCATCTATGTTCCTGTGGCCCTCTCTTAGAGCCGAGGGGTTACCCCCAAGCGGTACCTTGGGCCCCCAGAACCTGTCCTCACTTGGCAAGCAGGTTTGGGCCATAACGGCCCCCCGGTGGAGCCTGTCTCCTGTTCAGATAGCAACCCTGTGGGCTGTTGTGACCTTCAAATGAGGTAGATTACGTCACTGAACAGCACATAGCAGTCTCCTGGCTCTGTAGGATGGGAAGAAGTGGTTCACTGAAACCCCTCAAAGGAGAGCCCTCATAACCCATTTCTTTCTTTCTTTTTTTTTTTTTTTTTGAGCGGCCTAAGGCAAGAGACCATATAAAGGCCTCGGTGGTGGTTTTCTGCACATACATACCCCATAGAGGAGACGGGCCTGGGCTAGGGCATTACCAAAAGCAAACAGGATCATCTTGGCCCGCAGCTGTTCTGGTTGAAGGCGGTGTGGCCGTACATTGGCTGACTCCAGGAAATAGAGGGTGTGCGGGTAGGGGTACGGGTAGCCCTCCAGGAATCCTGCAAGATACGTGATCAGGTGAGGATGGAAGAGATTCATCAGCCTGCCCAAACCCTGGGAAGCTAACTGCGTCAGCTTGGTGCTGTGCACTAGAGACCTGTTACAGTGGGGTCTCACAATAGCTGGGGCCGGCAAATGTCCCCCCTCTGATCATGTCTAGCTCCTACTATTTCTGAAAATAAAGTTTCACTGGTACACAGTCACTCGTTTACTTAAATCTTGGGTACCTGTGGCAGTGACTCTATGTGACCCGCAGAATCAAAAATATTTACTGCTTGTCTACAGAAAATGCCAACATGTTAAAGGTGACACTTCTGTACCAGATTTAGCCCCACCCTTTTCTCTCTCATTCAAGCACACGAGTGACATGAGCAAGGAGGATAACTTGAAGCCTGTGGTAATTATTTTTTTAAAAAGCAAATCATTTGCAAAATTCAAATGTTATTCATAACGAAAGATTTATCTTGACCCCACAGCTGATCGGCCCAACTCTGGAGCAGAGAATCAAAGCTCGGCACTTGCTCACCTCAGTCGTGACCCTGTGGGGTCTCCCCCTGCACAGCTACGAGGAAACTTGTGGTAAGCGGGGGATCTAAAAAGGGTAAGCTGTGTCAGTAAAAATGCGTGAAAAGCTGGAAGAAAGGGTGGGGAAATGCGAGCACTAGAAATCTCAGGCGGAGATTCAGGCAGAGGCGGCAGGGCACGTGAGTACGGGGACTCAGCACTCACGACGTGCCAAACTCTGGGACTGGTGCCAGGGGCAGAGGCCAAAACCTATGACAGAGCTGCTTCCCAGGAGCCAGAAAGGAAGCCAGCTTTTCAGCAAGTCTCTTAACACCCCCTCAAGCCAGACTCCTTGTTGACAAAATGGGGTAACATAGCTGTCCCACGGGCTACTACCTGGGCCCTAGGGGAAATGCCCATGAAGTGCCTGGACATAGCACGTCCCCCACAGACTTCGGCTCTCACCTCCACGTGGCCTTGCCTGCTGCGCTGCTTTGGCGCTTACCTGTGTCATCTTTCACATCATAAACGTTGCATTCCTGAAGCCCCATAGTGGGAGATATGGGGTAAAAGGTCTCAAAAACATGATTCTTAGTGGCCTCAACCTCCTCGCTGGAGGCAATGGGTGGCAGAGGATCCTTGGCATTCAGTCGGGCTCCACTAGAACCATGCACCTGAAGGAGAATAGACTCTACAAGAAGGAGAAAGAGCATCAGCCTAACCTGGTCCATTCAGGAAGCCTTCATCTTGCCACGCCCTTCCCAACAAGGCTCCTTTTATAGTTTTTCTAAAAGATCAGTCTAATCACAGAAAGCAAAATCATGGGTTAGTCCTGGAACTCCTGGGAGGGCCTTGACAAGGCATCCTTTTTCCTGTATTCCCTTTCCAATGACCACGAGACCTGGTGGTCTCTGTGGGTTCACGGGTGCCCCACACAGATCTCACCAAGCACCTTCTTGAGACCCAGAGATGAGTGTGTTGCTCTCTGCTCACAAGGAACTCTCCAGATAGGAAGTGCTACAAGTATGAACCATGCTGGAAGTCAGGTGGAGGGGAAAACTGACCTCCTCTGGGAGGCCTGGGGAGTGTCCTCCAAAAAGTTTAATGCCTTCAAACTAGGTCCTGAAGGATGAGTAAGAGCAGTTTCTCAGCTTTGGCACAACTCACATTTGGACCAAAGAGACAATTCTTCGGTGAGAGAGGCTCTCCGGGGACTATAGGATGGTGCACTGTATCCCTGGTCTCTACCCGCTAGCTCCCGGAGAACTGCCCTCATCACCCTTCCACTCCAGTTCAAGGCGTGACCATCAAAAATGTCTCCAGACACTTCTAAATGGCACTGTGAGGGCAAAATTGCCTTGGCTGAAAACCGCTGGGTGAGAGCTTCCCAGGCAAAGGGGAGGACAGCAGCCTAGGCAGGAAGGACATCAGCGGCAAGGCACACGTGCGCACCATGGCAGAGCTCCGCGCGCTACATCGAGAGGCGAGAGCGTGAGATGGTAAGAAAGGAGGTGGAGAGAGAAGCACTGACACTAGAGGCTGAGGGAAAGGCTTTTATGCCAGGAGTGAGAGTGAAGGAAAGCAGGCCATCAGGAAGCCCAGCTGAGGTCGGGGCAGCACTGTGCCACACAGAGGAAGATGTAGGTACATGGACAGCAAGCCCGCCACTGTGCCCCCGTGCCGCTGCCCTTCAGAGGTCCTCACACCCCCGTCTGAGAAGTGCCTCATAAGACTCCTCCAGAGTGGTCTCCTCTCAGGAGGCTCCGTGGAGGTGCTTGGGTTTTTAGAAATAGGCACATCACCACAGGATGGTAATGCATCAAGGCAGCTGAACTTGTATGTCTAAAAACTGGTTTGACGGACACCACTGTCACTTAACTAGCCTTTCTTACTTGGTATGCAGAAAAAGGACACTAACTGGAGATGAATAATTCTGATCTGCTTGTTAAAATAAATCATCCTCACACCTCAAGAATAGTTTTCTAAAGTATTTCCTGTTTCCTCACATACAATCTGCAAGCAAGATAAATGTGCCTGGACCTCTCCTAACCTTGGGTTTCAGAGTCTCCCCACAGACCACTCTAGTGTGGTTTCCAATTCAATTCCCTCCACATCCCTCCTCCAGTGACAGCTCCAGATGGGGCCGTTTAATTAGAGGTAATACTTGATGATGGGCCAACAAGTACTCCTCTATTAATGAGGTTCACTAATTTCCTTAGTGGTGCCATTACCTCTGCAAAGCTGACTCCTTGCCAGGAAGTCCATACTCAAAGGGGCAAGATGGAAAATCTGACCACGCAGATGTCCTGAAAACCCCAAATTATTCCACAGCTGGTTTCCCTGCTCTTGCAGTCCCCAATGAGAACACCTGTATTCTCTGAACCTCCCCTGCCTGAAACACCGGAGATAAGCTATTCATTCACCCGTCCCTTCAGTCAGCACCTATTATCTGCCAGAAACTGTTAGATACTGTAAACAAATTGGATAAGACATGGTTCCCACCACCAGGAGATTGCAGTTTAGAGGGACAGACAGAAAAGATAATTAATAGATAATTATAATACAGTGTAATATCCACTCTGATAAAAACAGGCATAATGACCATAAGGTAACAGCTAATCTAGCCTGGATTCACATACAAAGGAAGCTTCGGTAGAGTCACGCTAAGTAGCAAAATTTACCCAAATGAGGAAAGCAGAAAAGACCATTCCAGATGAGTATACAGTACATCAAAGGCTCAAGGTATAAAAGCCTGACGCCTAAAGCCTAAACCCTGCACTAATACAGAGTTCTCCCCCCACTGTAAGTGTGGGGTGGGGTGATGCATAGAGCTGGAGATACTAGAAAGAGTAGTTGGTGGCCAATTCACAGAAGACCTTTGATACCATGATAAATGAGCTAAACTTTTGGGAGGCTGCAAAGGATTTGAAATGGAAGGACATAAAAGGACTTGCACTTTAGAAAGCTCACTCTAGCAGCTGTGTGCAAAGTAGTCTTGAAGAAAGAGAAAGGCATGGGGTAAGAACGCTTCTACAGTAGGATGTGAGCTTTGTGAAGGAGACACTGTATGTGCGTTGTTGATCCTTCGCTTCAACACTGAGACCCTCATACACATTCCATAGATATGTCTGAGTTAACTGTCTTGGAAAGAAGTGATTTTAAAAGTTGCTGGGCTAAGTCTAACAACATTAAAGGAAGTGTCTTGGACAATGAAATATGTGGGTGAAGATAGGTATGGCAGAAGGGGGAGAGGGGATATGAACTGGGGATAGGAATTAGAGGGGAAAGATAAAGACTTTTTGGAACACAAGATAACCAACCTCGATTCCAGGTGGCAGACAACAATTGGTTTTTAGCACAGATCCGTCTAGTCAGGGAAGGATGCTTGAGAATCTGGGATTTGCACAGTTGTATCAGACTCTCCATAATGACTGGGCTTGGAGAAAAACAAGAAGAGACATTTGGAGACCTAACACAACATACTGACTTCAAGATTCATCCCTTACTGACTTAAGGGATACTTACCAGTAGGTCTCTCTCTCAGGGATGTCTTCAGTGGAGTGCCAGAGACGGGCATGAGAGATCACATTCAAAACATGTTCATCTTGGTTCTCTATGTGGTTCCTTGGATCATCAACAAGGCTGAGCACTTTCCCAGGAAGGCCTTCTATCAACTTAGCTTTAGTAAGCCAGAGGGCCTGCTTTACACCTTTGGGTGAACAGTCACAAAAGAAGACAATGAAAAAAGAAAAAAAGACAATTTAGGAAAAGATACTTCAGCCTGCAAGGTAGCATCTTGAAGAAAGAGCTGCCTTGGCAAAGACACAGGACTTGTCCTGTCACATCTGAGGGGTCAAAACTAAAACTGAAGAATTGAAGCTAGAAAAGGCAGATTTCAACTCAACTGAACAGTGACTGATGCTAACTCCCTCACCTACCTATTTTTAATTTAAACCAACTGTGTTGTAAAATTGATGTAAGATGCCCAAAATACCTTTCAGGAAAACATGGAGTTTAAATAAACTAAATTAGATTTGACTCAGACTACTTTGTTGTCTTTAAACACTAAAACATTTCAGCTATTCTCAGTGGGATGGGCAATGGAGTCAGGTCAAAACTCCCTAGCTTCATTTTCCCCACACCTCATTTCCCTAAGGGAGAAATGACATAGCCCAAGGATATAGGCATTAAGTCCTCATACCAGTACTTCATCCTTTGATCAAAGTTAACACTGTATTCTTTTCAAATTTTATGCTTACAAGTTGACAAGAAGCCTGGTGACTGCTTTGGCTGGGAGGTTACCCATCTCTGTTGGAAAAATACCACTCTGACTCAGGAACAAATTACAAATCTTCTGAGAAGCTACTGTTTGGGTTTAAAGAAAGCCTAAGACACTTCGGGAGACACCCTCAGGCAAGTTCTTTGGTGGTAAAAAATGAAAGTCAATGTAGGGTAATGAGATTTTTCACTTTGAGGCTAAAATGTCAGAAATACAAATATTTAGAAATGTACCTTCAGGATTTTATGGTGTGGCAGCAAAAACCCTAGCCAAGAGAATTAGGTCATCTGTGATTTAGTTCTGACACTACCATTGTTCCTAAACTTGATAACATACAATATTTAGATTTTATGGTTCACTAGTAAATGAATAAAATAAACAGGCACACTTGGAGCATCAGTGCATGTAGAAGTTATATTTACACTATTGTGTATTAAGTGCAATAGTATGTCTTTCAAATTGCACATACCTTCATTTAAAAGTACTTTATTATAAAAAATAAAATCAAGCTCACCATCAACTGAGACTTCAGCAAGCTGTACTTTCTGTGGACAGTCTCGTGGGGTTAAAAAAAAAAAAAAAGACACAGCAATATCTGAGAAGCACATAAAATAAAGCTCTCCAAAATAAGGGATGCCTGTAATTGGAACGGCCACTTGCTGAGCAGCACTAGCTACTCTGTGCCACAAGTTTTATCTACAACAAATGTATGGGACTTTATTGGAAAAGAGGATGAAACTCAGAGACTAAGGAATTTGTTTCAAGTTACACACCTTGTAAGTGATGGTCTGGGAGGAGAATCTAAGTCTGTCTACCCTAAGACCCATGGTCTATTTTCCCAATTTGCTTCTCTAGCCCTGTATCTTAGAGTTTTGTCAGGCTTTCCAGAACCTTTTGGCTGCATATGATGAAATCATAGACTAGGTAAAACAAGTATGATCTTAATTTCTAAAATACTTCTAATACATTCATCTATGTGATAATTTACCAGAGTCAAATAGGGTGTCACCTCTTGTGAGGTCCTTCACATAACCCTGTGGACACTGGAAGTGTTTAAAGGCTGGAAAACGTTAAGTGGCTTAAGAAATTGGCTAGTTGACCTTTTCAAATCTAGAGTTTATTCCCTGGCTTAATTTCCATATTCTGCCAGGTTTTTCTTCCTAATTACTCCTTGAAAAATACTGCCCCCACTTACCTTGACCATTTTGTTTTCAGGAACTAACATATCCCCATTCTGATTTGGGGACTAAGGAAGAACAAGGAAAGGGATTCTCAATGAACAGACACACTCCCCCTACCAGCAAACCTTAGCTTATCATTTTGATCTGTTGTGTGAGAATGGAAGTGGCTAGAAGGCTGTTTATTCGTTATGGTGGTTGTTTTACTGTCTTTGAAAATAGCTCAGCCCTGACCTTTGACAAAAAGTCACTGAGGAAAACCAGATTGCAGCCCTGTCTTCACTAGTTACCCACAGTGTACCTGTGGACAAATCTTTTTCTCTTCCTCACAATTATCAATCCTGGGAAATGAAGCAATTGGACAGGACATTAAGCCCTCTTTCTCTGTCTTTCGACATCACAGTCTCCTTCCCTCTATTTCTTAAATGTACAGTTACATCCCCAGGGTGTCAAGAGCTGCAAGGATCAACGTGGACCCAAAGCGTCAAAACCATTCATTTCCCATTAAGTGGAGGCTCAGGAAGTTTCAGTCACTTGCTCAAAATTCTCAAGTTAGAGGCAGGGCTAGGGCTAGAAACCAGACCTCTTTACCTAGCCACGCAAACTCTCTAACTCTCCCTCACACAACTCTAAATATCCCACTTAGTCCTGACAATTCTCAGAAGACAGGAATCACTATCGGCTCCATTTAGCAGACGAAGAAACCGAGACCACGGTTTCAAAGTCTTGAAGGAGGCCATAGAGGATCAATGCTGAGCAGAGAGGCAAGGGAACCCTTCGGGCTTCACTGGGCCTCACCCTCGAGGAGGCGGCTACGCTGGTGAAAGACGTGGCAGGCCTGCTCCTTGTATAGAGGCTGCTCATGAATCGGAGGCAAGCGGCGGAACTTCGGGTGTGTCCAGCCAGGGTCCCACGGCGGGAAGACCGGCCGCGCTAGCCCAGGCATGAAGTGCATCTTCCCCGCGTAGGTAATGGGCTCCAGTCCAGGGATTTCGTACACTCTGTCCTGGGGTGCAGGCGGGGGCTTGCGCGTGGAGCGCACGCCCCACTCGTACGCCCCACGACTCGGGACCTCACCACCCCCAAGGCTGAGCCTCCGGGTGCGACCTAGAGCCCGCCTTGCGGGACCCGATGCCAACGCCATACCGATCTGGCGTCCTCAATACCTCCACCTGGGCGCCGCCATATTCCCGCTCGCAAGACCTGCTGGGAACGAAAGGGGTCGAACGCCAAGGCTCACTTTGTGAGTGGCAGCCACTTGAACCAATCACAGCCAAGGCATCCTTGTTTTGTCCCACGCCTCAGGCGGTTCTCATTTCCTCATAGGGGGAGCTGCTAGTTATTCCCCGCCTCCCTGGTGGGAAGTGGAGTGGGTGAGAAACCTGGAGAATCCGCTAGTGAGGGGGAAGCGCGGGAGCGTAGGTGAGTGGTCGTGGTAGAAGGCGGGGCGGGACTAGAGCGAGAACACCAGGACTTCACACCTGAGTTCAGGACCATCTTGACCCACTACAGACACTTATCCTTTGGACCGGGGACTTCTCTCTGAGCCCCGTGTTCCTCACAGTAAAAAGTAGGTATAGAAATGCCTAAGCTAGTCCACACGGAGAGGGTGTACTGTAAATTTCCTTTCCTCTCCCCACACTTCTCTTTACCCCGGAGGCTTTTCCCGCTGCCCGCCCCCCTGAGCCGGAGAGTGGCCCAGGCTGCCATACCAAACTTGCACCCCCAACTGCTCGGACTGCAGGGCTCTTCCCCAGCGCCAGAAGTGAGTCCTGTCTTCGTTGGTATTTCCCTTTCCTCCTCCTAGAGACAAGGACTGACCCATAGAGGTGTTGCGTTGCTCCTTGCACTATTATTTGTCAGGTGTCCCTTGTGTCAGGTTCTGTGCTGAGCATCACTATTTACAGGTTTGCACGGGGGCAGTTCATTTTGGACGGCTAGGTACAAACCTGATCACAGAGGAAATGAAAAAAAAAATGTGGGAAAGACAGATAACATGTAAACAGAAGTACTGTAAACAAGCAGTTGCAGTGCACACACTATTCCTTTTCCCTACTTACTCTCTTTAGCATTTGACAGTAACATGTTTTCAATTTAAGGCTTGTTTAATCACTGTCTTTCACTAGAGTGCAAGCTCTATGAGTGCAGGGGTGTGTTTCTTCACAGCTGTCAACCCTGTGTGCAGAGACCGCCCCTCTAAAACCAGTGATACAAAGTAAGAGAATTTGGCAAGCCCTGATCAGGGAGAGCTTTGGAAATGGGGAGCTGCTCAGGGTTGTTAATGAGGGAGCTGGTGTGCTGACAGATGTGTAGGGGAAGATGGAAACCCATCCTTTAGGACCTTGGGAGGTGCCGATGTAAATAGTGATGGGAAGCAGATGAAGTGGAAAAGATCCTAAAGGTTAAGATTGTGGTGAGTGGGGCCCTTCCTGGTGGTGCAGTGGGTTAAAACACAGCCCTGTGAGGCTATCTGCAGCCACTGTAGCCTGAGTTCGACCCCCAGTCAAGGAGGTGACCCACACAGCAAAGCAGACCTCTCCTGTCTAGCCCACTGCTCCCCTCAGCAGGGTATTTCAGCCAACCAGCCTTTCTTTGCCCCACTCTGTGTCTGGTGAATCCTTTCACCCTGTACTTGTGGTCAGTACCACCTAAATAAATACAATCTTTAAAAAAAAAAAATAGATTCTGGGGAGTGGTTGGCAACCAATAACAGGACTTTCCTGTCCTCTAGCAGATTGTCTGTTTGCCTGTCCGCAGTTCCAGAATTTGACCCACACCTTGATCCTAGCACTTTCTGCATGAATGAAATTAGTACCTTTGGGAAGTTTCCCGGTGCACATGGAATTCATTGACAGTTTGATAGTTCAGCCCTGTTCTGTGCCAGCTCAGTGCCAGATGCTGGAAATTATAGATGAAGATACATTGTACCCTGCCCTCTAGAAGTCCTGGGGCATTGGCCAAGGCACATGTAGCAGTCTTAACCACTTTTGGCTGCTGACCTGGGCACAGATTTATCCTCTGTGCTTACAGAGGTCTGTAAGCCTCTGCTTACCTGGCCATGGTTTGCATGCCTTTTGGGATAGTGAGTGAGGCAGTACAAAGCACTTTGCACAGACTCTGACCCAGTAAGTGGCATCTATTGTTATAACAACTATCTGTTTAGTGAATGACTCTCCCACTAGACCAGGAACTTCAGGGCAGGGGTGAGTGTCACTCACTGTGCTCCCCAGGACCTCTGCTGCAGTAAATGCTCAGCCCCTGCAGAGTAAGTGTCGCTAGAATGAATGGAAGGAAATCAAAGACTGGAGCTCTTAGAAGTACTTGCATTTTAGAGGAATGATATTTACATCAAATAGTGTTCTGTGACATCAGACTTGCCCTCCTGCTCTCAGACAAGATGGAGGGAACAACCTCTTTTGCTGTGCCTGTAAAATTGTAAGTGAATAGTTTGCTTGCAGATATGACAGTCAGGTCTACTCTACGCTGTAATTCTACGCTGTGGAATCCCACATGTAAATATGGAGAACCTCGATAAGCCCCAACTGCCTTCCCAGAAGCATCTCAAAATAACCCTATCCATTCACTTTTTTCTCACTGATCTGTTCTTCAGACCATGTTTACCTAATAGTCCTAAAACCAAACTCCCTTCCCTTTCCTTCCTTCCCTTTCTCCTGCCATGTAACAGGTGTACTTTTAAAGAGCTGCTACGATGTTTCACAAAATGAATTGAAAGCAGATTTCTACCCTCACAGAGTTCACGGTCTCAGGGAGTAGAAAGACATGTAAACAGACAGGTCATTTATGAACAGTGGGAGACACTATCAGGTAGAGATTCGTGCCTTTGCAAAGTATTGTGCCCCCACCACTATGTCCAGGGCTGGAGCGGGTGTGGTGCGTGCTTGCTGGAGGGCGAAAGCGCGCCAGCCTTCACAGAGGCTCCAGCGCATCCTGATTTGTGCCCTCTGCCCCTTTGGTGTCTGTTACCCAGCTCTCTGTCTGCAGACTCACGTACCCAGACCGCTGTGATCTAACTGACACCCGGATCTTGCACTTAGAAGCCTCATGGGTACTCGTCAGTCCTCAAACCTAACTGTTCAGTCTTCTCTTCCCCTAAAACTCAACTTCTTGATCTCACTGGCCACCCAAGGACCCACTCCAAACACCTGGATGTCCCGTCACCCCCTTTCCCCCCTCATTCCCTCGCCATATCGCTTGGTCTCTAAGTCCTATTAGTTGGTCTCTATGTCCTATTAACTGTTTATATAGTTGACCCATGTCCTCTTACTCCCCCTGAAGCTGCTTTGGTCCAGTGTTCACGGCATCTCGCCTGGACTGTCACAGTCTCCTGTTTTCCTGTGGCTGAGGAGCAATATGTTCTGACACCAGACAAATTGAAGTTCAATCCCGGTGCTGCCATTTTAGGAGCTATGTGACCTTGGGAAAGTTATTAAGCCTCTCCAGGCCCCTCTTCCTGTCCCTTCTAGTACTGACCTTGTGTTAAAGATTAAATGAGTTACAGCAATTTGGTGAGTGACTCACCATCAATGCTGAGTGAAAAAAAAAAAAAAAACAAACGAAGAATACAGGGTGATTCTAGCCACACAAAGGTAAGAACAGGGCAGAGCTGACTGTAGTGGTTAAGGTTGCCACCAAGGTGGCAGGACTAAGGAAAAGCAAGGGAATGATGATACAAAAAGCTGCAGGTGGCTGCTAGGGTGGGTGGCTGTGAGCAGGAAGAGACAGACTAGCAGCATCTAGGCTGCTGGCAGGGTGCTTT